TTTCCTAAGGTTGCTGCATCAGGGTGACCCAGGTTATTATGCATCCGTAACAGCTGTTGTCTTTCTTCGGAAGTCAACTTCAGGAAATTGGGACCATGCTTGTTTTTGACCGTTGACGATTCAGGACATGGACTCTCGGCAGGGAACTGATCCTGCGGCTTTTGAGCAGGCATTTCTGGCACGGATGCATCTACACGCAACTTCTTCGAGTCAGGCTCAAGGCTATCCGGACTGTCGTCATGCTTTCTAGTGCTTAGCCCGGAAACGGTACTTCCGGAAGCAGGAACCGATGCCATGGAATCTGTGTTAGTTCCAAAAACGGTGATCAACAATCTGGCTGGAGTCCCATGACGGTTCAGCTGACGTTTGCTAAGTCCACCCCATTCTTCCCATTGGTTATCTTCGAAATTCCCAGGCATGCGGCGATGGACACCGAGTGTTCTACGCAAGGGAGCTACTTCTTTGGTGATCTCTTGGGGAGGACTCCTAAGTTTGTCAGCACCTTTGCAAAGTTCGACACACTTGATGGTGACTGAGGGATATAGTCTTTGGATTTCGGAAAGAACGGGACCTTCAAAGAAAACTCGCTTTCCTACGCTAGGAGCATGTTTGGAAATGGTATCAATGGCCTTCTGGACATGTAAATCATGTTGGACCTGTTGGTAGGTGGCATCGGGTGGCTGCTTGATACCCAACTTCCGGCGCTTAGCAGGAACATCTGTCACCTCATCAGTGGATCGAGTGACAAGCGCATTTTCGAAAGGTCGGCAATTCCCTTCAGAGACCTGTGCACTGCACTGCATGCTACGAACCATTTTGTTAGCAAACACCCTGGTATAAAGTTCAGTATATTGGGAAACATTGATTCTACCCAACTGTGGTACAAAACATGATCCCTCAACATGATCATGAACATGATCCCGGGTACAGCGAAGGTTCGTCACCTGTCGATGCATCACTTCGGAGGTGGTAAGGATTTGAGTTCCCTTTTGCAGGTGATTCTGAGTTTGGGGATGCCTCAAGCGTCCTGCAGTGCACATGTCACATCGTCCTATCCAAGATTGCTCCAAGACCGCTGCAAGCTCTTCCTGGTAGAGCATTTGGGATCCTACTGGCTGCTCAAGGTGTGCATGGCATAAGTGTGACCGACACGTCTGAAATTGAAACAGTGCATCACACAGAAGCAAGTGGACCTGGTCTTCTTGGCGAGCTGTCATGATGCGGTTGGCAAGTTCTTGTGTTTTGTGTCGGTTAAACTCATTCCATCGACACCAGGCTTTGCATCTGGGAGACATCCAGATGTTTCGCGGTCGGAGCTGCAGCAACCGGTCATACAACTTATGTCGGCCCTCCCACGTACTCAGATCTCCATCATTCAAACCATGGCGCTCAGCCCATAAACCCTTTTGATTGGCTTGTTCAGTCAACGCACTGTTCTGACTACAATACACTTCTAAGAGATCTGCACGGCATCGTTGAAGCATTGGTGAGTCGGGGTAAATCCCCCTTTTGGCAAAATGCCTCCACATTTCATGAGCTACCCAATTGGTGTCTCGGCTATACAAGATGTTTTCCCCTACATCATTATCCCCAACTCGATTCTCCTCATTGCTAGGCTTAGCATGAAAAATGTTGTGCCATGATTCACACATGTCAGCCATGATCATGGGAGGGACCGGATGTTCAGGAGTCTGGTGCTCCTTTAGGCTGTTGGATTCTGACTGGTGCGCTTCAGGTGCTCGAGGACTTCCTGGAGGACAATCTCCATCTGGCCCATGCGGTTGCGCATCTCTACCATCTCCACATTGTTCTCGGTGGTCAGTTGGGCCCACACTTCGTCGTCCGAATCCAGTTCGATCGGAGCTTGCGTCTCCATGGGCGGATGCTTGGCTTTGGCCTTTGGCAAGATGGGCTTTGCTGCAGGCTCGGCTTTCTCTTGGCTGTCCAACCAGAGCTGAATGAAGCGCATGAACTTCACATGGACTGGCTTGCGGCTGTGTTGATAGTTCTCGGTGAACCAGGCCATGTATTTGGTCTCGGTGGTCATGTCGAGGTAGCGCTTGCCAATGTGTGCCTTTCCAAACTCGATCTTCTCGTTCTGAAGCTCCGTCAAGGTCATTGCCATGATGGAGGGAATCACGTTTGGGTCCTCGGACTCCTTGATATTCAGTCGCTTCAGGCGAGCGGTCAGATCGCCAAAGTCCAGTTCTGTCGGTGTCTGAGTCATGATGCGCCGGGCTGACACTGACTGGAAAACCGATGGGTGTTTTGCTGAGCCTAGATTGCAGCTGGTTTTCAGCCGATGTCACGACATGCGAATCTGGACACGGTGGTGATTTCTGACACACTGTATCATGGCATTCTTCAGACCCAGAAGACAGAATCTGACCTGTGCTTTCACTAAACATCACATCGGCACCCTGATGGCTGCATGGATTTTTCAGAAGATCAAGCAAATCGATCTGAAACAATTTCCGCTCTGAAAGTTTCATGGGAACACGAATGCCAATTTCTTGAAACAACACTTCCCCTTTGGCAGTATCAATCACCGCTCTCAAGTTTCGGAAAACACTGTTGGCAATCAAAAAGGGTGTGTTGGTCGGAACAATTACCACTTTAATCCATTTGCTGCCTACTGGAAAGTAAATGGCGCGTGTTCCATTGACTGCTGTTGTTCCCAAATCGGAAGCTGACTTGGCATGGAGCTTCCTTCATGGCATGCAAAACAGCTGATGGGAGAGATTTGCAAAGCTCTTTGAACTGGTTTTCTCCAATCACTGACATGCTAGCTCCTAAATCCACTATGCCATGAGTTCCATGCGAGGCAAAATGCGCAAGCTCCTCAGAATTGTCATCTGAGTTGGACTGATTTCTCCGGTCACGTTCTTTGCCCGGGGGGTTGTGCTGGCACTGGATGGGCTCATTCGTGGTGCTCCTGACGATGGCTTGGAAGCGTTGGGACAACCTGGACTTCAACTGGGACGGTAAAGACAGACAGTTGGACTGATTTACCCCATTAGAGTCCCCTTTATTACCCCATTTATCCCCATTATAGGCATTCAGGCGCATGTTGGGTGAGTGCAAACGGTGGCTAAGCATGTAACATGTCTCCTCTGTCATGTAGGCAGTTGCATGTCCGGGGGGCATGTCATCATCATCTGAAAGGCTCTGAACCTCATGAGGAATCTCGGATGCCATGGCCACTCCAGCAAAGGCTGCATTGCCCGTGGAAGGAACGGATGCATTGGCATTCTTCAGGCGGACAGGGCATTCTGCACGCCAATGACCGGTCTGATTGCAATACCGGCATGTTGACTCTAAGATTCTCTGAGCCAGCGGTTTCCTAAACTTCTGCTTGAATCCACCCTTATTCTTACCACGACCTTTTCCTTTAGACCCTTTTGGAACCCAAAACCCACGGCCTTTCACCTTTTCTGAGATCTTGCGACGAGCCTCAAGGTACGTGTTGAGGCAAGTAGCGATCTCGGGATCACTTTGCAGCGTGTCGATGAGGCTTTCCTCGAATTGATTGATCACTTGAGCATCGGGGTCACCCTCAGCTAGCAAAATTTCCAAAGCCGAGTCTTCCGAGTTCTCTTGAGAAAAGAAAATGGTCTCTTCGGTCTCTTCGGGGTCATGTTCATCTTCATCCACAAAGTTTACATCATAGGTTTTGCTGCGGGCATTGGTCCGGCTGGCAGCTCCGGACTGGACTTCTGCAAAAAACTTTGACCCCAGCAGCTGCAAGGCTGAAGTCACCTTGTCGTATTCCAGATTTCCCCCGCTATCTATGATGATCTTCTTCTTGTCCTCTGGCGACAATCCAGAATTTCTGATGAGAATGTATGCTCTCATCTCTTCCAGACCGACACCCATGTTGAAGAGCTCCTCATACTGTACCTCATGGCGGGCTAGGTAGCTTTTGTGAGTCTCATCCGGCTTCTGTACTGTGCCAAAAATGGCTTTCTCAAATCGCTCATATTTCGTTTCCAGCTTGGACTGTCCCCAAACACCTCCAAGGGTCTTCACAACCAGCTTGATACCTTCAGTGCTTTGAACCTTCAACTTCGAGGCATCCAAGCGGACCACCTTGGAAAAGGCTGTGCCCTCGCACAAAAGGCAGGCTCGAGGAGCCAACAAGGCTAATTGATCTTGAGGCCATATGTTTGCCAGAAACTCAAGACGACGAGTGTAATCATTCACGTCAGTTTCACCAGGTTTGAATGGTGGGATCAAATGCCAAGGTAAGTGGGTGTTCCCCGGCGGTTGTCCCGTTGATTGTCCACTGCCATCAGACATCCTGGATCACCTCACTTTCGCCACGTTTCCAAAAAGGATATCCGTAGCGGTGAGCCGTAGCTCCGCTACCAATGTTGGATTGGTAGCGATCTTCAACACCAAAAGGCTGGAGGTCTTCCCAAGACCAAATGAACTGAATGGAATTGAATGAGGCCGCCTGGCCTAATGTTGGATACTGTTTGTAGGACCTCCTGATCCAATGATACCAAATAGGGCACCCTGTCCCACCTATGGCTCGGTCGGCGACACAGACCTTTTTACTCCAAGTGCCACAACCCCCTGGGCATTCGAGCCTAGTTCGGCAATCGCAGAGGAAAGTGTTACCTTGACCCTTCCACTGGACATTGCACATGTTGCAAATCACAATATATACATATATATATAATATATATATTATATTATATTATATTATATTACATATAATACCATTCAGGTCAATTTTCTGATGTCACCTTGGAAAAAACGGGGATATGTTGGGAAACACTCACGCTCTTGCACTACCATAGAATTTGAGGTTCCAAAGAATGGAACGAGTGGTTTGCCGATTCTTTGGTCATTTCTCTCACGTTGCGCCTGAACATAGCATACTTTAGCTTCTAGTAACTCTAGTAACTTTAGCTTCTAAAGTAGCTGCTCTCCAGCAACAGTTCTAGTAACTATAGGCTATACCAATCACCCAACTTCCAGCCCCTTCCACGCAGGCTGCGTCTCTGCCTGCCGGGCCTTTTGGCCTCCGCCGGGTCTTTCGGCTTGGCCACGCTGCAGCTGCTGCGCTATGCCCTGGCGCAGCAGCCGCAGCTGCCCAGCTTTTCGGCGGTCGGGGAACTGAAGCCACGGTTGGGGCAACGAAAATGGGAACTGCCCTATGAATTGCCATGGGAAAATCCACCTGAATGGGGTTTTGCATGGTTTTAACGGGTTCAATCGGGATGTTGTATAATATATATATTTTGATGATGATGATGATGATGATGATGACGATGACGATGACGATGACGATGACGACGAATCCAAACTGTGACAATAGTTCAGTGATGGTAGAGATCACTAGCCAAAGAATGACAGCAGATGGTAGTAATGATGATAACAACAATGACAAATGATGATGCAGATGTTGGGAAACATGGATGTGAGACCCCTCTTCCACTGTAGGAATTAATAATCCAAACTTGGACTTTGTGGAAGGTTGTTTGTATCCTAAAAGGATTCCCGGAGATTCTTTCCTTTCACCTGCTGGAAGAAACTTTCTCTGCAGTCAGTTGCACTTTCGCATCTCTGAAGTGCAGTTCTGAATCGTATCAAATTCTTGGAAGTTGATGGTACTACCAGATCCCTGGTCCCTTAACTCTCAACGTCTTGAGTTTCAATGTCGTGTGAGATGCTCCGCTAGGGGCAGTTCTTTCTGATGATCCTCCAGCAGGGAAGCCCAGACAGTGGTCCGGATTGCTGATGACAACACTCTTAGATTTTAGGCTAGAATTTGGGTTGTTCCAATGTGTTTCAGGAAGACAACTCACCGTTCTAAACACTAGTATGCACTGCCCATGGTAAGGTGGAAGGTGTCACCATGGATTCCTCCACCAGAAAGGTAAGAGAAGGGTAGGTTTTCGGGGTGCTAGAAATTATACTATGTAATGAGTAGGACGAAGCAAGAACCACAGTATATAATAGTATTATCTACCATTTGTATTCATGTATTGAGTATGTATCGCCACCTGGATGATGTAACAGTTCTAACATCACCATCGACAAAGCCATCTGTGGTGTCTTTTGGCCAATGCCGATCTGGTGATCCGTGTCTCTTAGGTGCCTGCTGTATCGCAGCCTGTTCTATGCTGGGCAAGACTTCATGGCATTGCAGTGGGATGCACTTCTCCATGAGGACTGGGGGGAGCCGATGCGGGTTTCTCAATGACACCATCTACAGATGGTTTCATACCTACACAGTTTCTTTTGATGACCAAAAGCCCGATAACTTCTCTGTAGAATCTTATAGATGGTTCTGATATTATGTATATATATATGTATATATATATGTATATATATATGTATATATATATATATGTATATATATATGTATATATATATGTATATATATATATATATATATATGTATATATATATATATGTATATATATATTCTACACACACATGACATGTAGATATGTATGTATATATAATACATACACATATAATATAACATAGATGGGTTGCTTGGTACCAAGCGTTGTTCAAACCCGTTGCTTCCACCATTGGGTGGTGCCGTCGCAGATGGGCTTCTGGACGGCTGCGCTGGCGCTGCATCCGCTGCTACCCCTGGTGGCGCTGCGACTGATGGCCGTGAAGGTCTTCCTGCTGGCCGCAGCGTGGGGGAGCCCGGTGATGTTTGTTGTTTTGGGAAAAATGATGGGGATTCCAGCAAAACAACAATGAGGATATGGAATATATATATATATAATATGCAGGTCGGTGGTTTCAAGTAGTTTCATTTTGAAAAAATCATTGATTGGCAGGATTGTCGTGAAAGTGCTGAGCTTGACCTTTGAAAAATAAAGACATCTCTCTAGTTGTGTATTTCCAAGTTCTGCAGCAGCGGTGAAACCCTGCACATTTGTGTTTCAAAGCTCCTTCGAGCATGTGTCCACGCTATGGAAGAAGACTCAACAAGGCAGACAGTCCCTCGAGTCATCGGTGGTTTAAAGAAACTGCTTCGTCTCAAAGGAGGTGAGTGGTTCTATCATCTAAAGGTCTACGGTAATTACCAGTAGCGACACTCTCCTTGTTGACGGTCGAAAGGATTCAGTGACATGATTCATCGAATCAAGACAATTGATTATTTATGATTATTTTAACATTTTGGATATGTGATATTACAGACAATCAAATGAGTTTCGTCACCCCGGGTAACAGGTTTATATAATCACAAGCCTGGATGCACAATGCACACGCCTCTTCATCCTTTGATTTGGTCCTGCGACCATGAAGACGTGTCGCTTGAGACACGTGGTAGTTGTCAAAAAGATTCAAAAAGGGACTGTAGATACGCAGCCTACGCCTTTCAATGCAGACTTTTGATGCTATGTCAGCCCGCTGAGCATTGCTTGCATGCCCTAGGATCACATTGGGTCATCCATCCATTAACCATGCTTGGAGTTTCCCTGTTCCAACTTTCAGGTGTGAACGTTTTTGCCTATGTGGTGAGGGAAGGTCGCTATGGTCAGCTGGACGGGAATATTGCTCGTTTTACCACCAAGTACCTGTTTGATGGAGAAGAGCAGAAGCCAAACCTGGTCATTGTGATGACACACTGCAACCGAAAGCAGCTGAAGTTCAGCAAGCAGGAAAAAGCCGAATGGCTCAAGCACCAACATGAGGAGAACCAGGAGTTCAGGTCCTTGTACAAGATGGTGAATCAGGATCCTTTGCGGTTCTTCATGGTAGACAATCAGGATGAAGAGGACATGCAGATGGAGAATGAAGCAGGGATAGCTCCATTGTGGCGCTACATCCTAGACACGGACAGCACTTTGCAATGGAAGGATGCAAACATTTTGAAGCGTCTTGAGGAGCTTAAAGAAGAGATAAAAGACCTCGTCGAGTCGCGCATGTCCGTAGAGGAGTTGGAGAAGTGTGTCGAGGAGAAAGAGACGGAGAGAAAGAAATTAGAGGACGAGAAAAAGATGCTAGAGGGCAAGTTGGCCAGCAAAGTGGGAACGAGAGCGAAGAGCGACAAATCAAGTTCCGGCCAAGGATGCTTTGGAGGGCTTTGCGAGGTGTGCGTGCGCAACAAAGGCACGATCGAGATCAGCGATCTTGCAAGTGGTGATATGGTTGCCACCGGCACAGGAGAGCCCATGTGCTTCCAACCAGTGATTAGAACCAATTGATGGTATCAGTACAGTGATTTTGTTTCAAATGCATCCAAAGTTTTTGTCTTGCTAATGAACTATGTCCTAAAAAATAGCCGAAGGAAGTTTAGAAGTCAAACTTCCGACAATATGGACAGATGAAAAGCAGAGATGGGCAGAGTCAGAGAAGAGGCGAAGAAGAAAGAAGATCAAAAAAGAGAAAGTCTCAGAAGAAAGAAGATCCAGGCGCACGAAAAGGTACGCAAGTCGTGAAACCTTGTGTTTTTCCAATGATTTGTGGCTCCGGAGGGTCGAAAGGTAGGCTCGCTAAAGCGGCGGGTGCGGAGCCATCTGGCCAGATGAGAGATGGAAAAGTGCACGCCGTTGTGGCGCGAAGCACATTTCGAAGTCAGAATGTACAAGACACGTCAGCTTCGGAGCACTTTTAGAAGTTGCGATGTCGAAAAAGTGCACGCCGTTGTGGCGCTAAGCACATTTCCAAGTCAAAATGCGCAAAGCACACCATGCTCGGACCACTCTTGGAAGTTGTGACCTCGAAAAAGCGCACGCCGTTGTGGCGGGAAGCACATTTCGAGGTCAACAGTGTAAAAAATTGATGGGTTCGGAGCACTTTTGGACGTTCAGATGTCGTTTTGCGTGGCAGGCGCAAGGGATTATGCACCTTGTCAAAAGTGAGCATAACGTGAGGGTTTTGTAGCATTTCCTAAAACGATGGCACCCGTGGGACATATGCAGAGGATCTGGCAAGATGTCTTTTGCGTGGCACGCGCAGTGCAAGAGACATGTTCATCAGAGCTGTTCGGAGGTCCGGGCGCTGATTTCCTGAGAGGGGTTGCATTTTGGAGCATCAGATCTTCAGGTTTGCTGAGATGATTTTGCGTGACAGGTGCAGCACTTCGTATGACTTGGCATCACTTTTTCGCGGCAGGCGCAGTACTTTAGACAGGAGGAGTGGAAAAATTGGAAAACGTCCGCTTGGAAGGTCACGGTTGCGATGGTCCAGAAGAAGGTGCGGCCTATGGTGGAAGTGCTCAAGTCCACCAGTGCGGCACTGAAGAGCCGCCCATCCAGCAGTGCAGCACCAGCAGCTCCAGCGGCTTCAGCACCTCCGTCACCTCCTTCCATGAGGTCTTGGCAGTCAGTGGGACCCACGTTCCAAGAAGTGATCAGCCAGCAAGAGCAGCGATTCCAGACCATGTCCTCCAGCACATTATCAACCAGGAGAACCCAGGTGCTCCAGTTCCAGGAGTCGAGATACCGCCACTGCCTATGACCGACTGAGCGGCTCTGATGCTGAAGACAAGCCTGGTTTTGGTCAGATGATTTCTCAAGCTTGGAATTGCCATCGACGAGAACAGTTGCTGATCTCGGCCAATGCTCAACAAGTTCGTGAGGCTCTGATGGCATCTTGGACTTCAGAGATGCATGGCTACATGAATGAAGCCCTGGCGATGGAACTCCAGTTTCCCAGCCCTTTTGTGCAAGAAATTTACTCTGACACTGAGCCCATTGCCCGTGCAGCTGAACGTCGAGGCTTGGTTGCTGGAGAAACTTTGGCTTTGGGCCGTGGCTTTGATTTTCGGTTGGCCTCACATCGAGCAGCAGCACTGAAGTTGATCCGCAGGAAGAGACCCTATGTGATTGTTTTGGCATTTCCATGTGGTCCCTGGTCTCCACTTCAATACCTCAATCCTGCAATGGACTTGGATCAACGCCGTGCTGAAGGTCGAGAATTGATGGCGTTTGCGGTTGAAGTAGCCAAGGAACTGATGAAGTTTAATCGGCACTTTGTGATTGAGAATCCACTTCCCTCTCTTGGCTGGAAAGTGGAAGAGTTGGATGAACTTCGTCAGTCTTCAGAAGTTCTAGAAGTAGTGATTGACATGTGCCGATTCAATCTCCGAGGGACAGATGGTGGGTTGCATCGGAAGGCTACACGTTTGCTGACTTCCATGCAGGCTGTGGTGTCCATTCTCATGAACTGTCGATGCCTTAGAGACCATCCACACTCACCAGTCCTTGGAGGCTCTAAGATCACAGCAGCAGCAGGGCACTATACCAAGGAGTTTTCAGACGCATTGGTTCAAGGTTTCATGGATCAGTTTGACTTTGAGACCATGATGCAGTTTCGTAATGATGGTCCTGCCTCACAACATGAAGCCAATGTCTCTGAGCATGAGATCCTTGCTGAGGAAGATGCAGAAGAAGATGGTCCTCTTGCAGATGAAGAATCAGATGACTCCCTTCAGCCTACGTCTGAGGAGAAGTCAATGACCATCTCTCCAGCTGTGCGCAATGCTGTGTTCAGGCTTCACGAGAACACAGGTCATCGTCATCCTCTACGCCTTGCCAGAGCTTTGATAGTTTGTGGTGCCCCAGCTGAGACAGTAGCTGCTGCAAAAATGTTGAAGTGCTCTGTATGTCGTGAACGTCGACAACCCAAATCAAGGGCACCAGCATCATTGCCTCCGCCTCGGGAGGTTGGACAGCAGATCCACATTGACTTGGTGGTCATTGAAGATGTCTTGAAGCGCAGCTACTTTGTGGCCCATGCGACGGACAATGTGTCTCGATTTCAAGCAGCTCAGGTGTTGCCCAACAAATCCTCAGCAGCGGTGATTGCCTTTTTGCAGCAGCGTTGGTTGCCGTTGCTTGGAAGACCTCACACCATTGTGGCTGACCAAGGCAAGGAGTTTGTCTCAGTTGAGTTTTCAGACTGGTGCGATGCTACATCAATATACCTTTTCCACATTGGAGTTGGTGCGCCGTGGCAAAAACGGCATTGCTGAAAGGAGTGGTGGAACCCTCAAGGCATTGGCTGGTAACATCATCCAAGCCCAGGCAGTGATCCAACCTTCAGAAATGGATTCAGTGGTCTCTGAGGCCTTTTTGGCACACAATTGCGATGTCAATGAGCTTGGTGTTGCTCCCATCCAGGCCGTGACTGGCAAAGTTCCTCAAGTTCAAGGTGATGTCTTGAATGATTTTGGAAAGAGACTGGCAGAGCACTCCTTGATTGAGGCCTCACCCTCACTCCAGCGTCAGGTTGCCATGCGAGAGACAGCCCGCCTGGCTATGGTTCGACTTCATTACAGCCAAGCCGAGCTTGCAAGATCTCGCTCAACAACAGCACCTTCAGTTCCAGAACCTGGCGATTTGGTCTTCTTTTGGCGTGCCGAGAAGGACAACCCCAAGAGGGATGTTCCTGCAGGAGCTACTCGCCGTCGTCTCAGTTTGAAACGGTGGCATGGACCAGGCTTGATGCTTGCTCGTGAAGGACCTCAAGATGGCCACTCTTTCAACATCTTTGTTTCCTACCGTGGCCAAGTGACCAAATGTCCTGTTGAGCATGTGCGCTGTCCTGTTGAGCATGTGCGCAAAGGATCATCCTCAGAGAACATTGCAGCTGGTGCTTGGGAGGCCGCCATTGACGAGGTGATCAATGCTGCCAAGAATGATTGTAGACAAGCTCCCCGCAGCAGTTGCAGTTCCTGACAGCTCTGATGAAGAGCTGATCCCAGTGCCTGGTGCTCAAGCACCCTCACATGCTGCTCAAGCTCCAATTGGATTTTCTGACGGCCCTGGACTTATGGCCGGCGGCCTTGGATTTATGGCCGAGGGATGGACTTCTCCCGGGGGTTGGGCTTATGCCCTCCGAGCTTGCAGCAGCTATGCAGTCTGGTAGTCAAGCAGCTCCATCGACATCTGGTGTGGCCTCACGCCGTGACTCTCTTCTGACTGATCCGTCAGATGGCAATGGCGGCGGTGCTCCAGGAACTCCTGTACCCGACTTGATTTTGCAAGCTTCTCAACTTGTTTCCAGGCCTGGCTTCCAAAGCACTTTGTCACGAGCTCGTGAAGTTGATCAGCAGTCAGATCGTGGCATCAAAACGTCAGCTGACCAAGAACTTCCACGACCAACAGTTCCAGGTGATTTGAGTGATGCTGGATCTGGTCCTGTTGATGCCCAAGGTCTGGAGCAGCGTGCGGCTTTTGAAGCTTTGACTATGACCTGGGAACAACTTTGCAACATCTCCGAATCCACTACGGTTCATCCTCTTCTGCAGTTGCAAGCTCTGGCAGAAATGGATCGTCGTGAACCGTCGGAAGTCCGGGAGAATGATCATGGCACTTGGGACGGCAGATGGGCTATGATGTGTGAACATGTCTAGAAGATTCAGTCACAACTGGGCTTGCAGATTCCTTCAGGAGAACATGATGTCCTCAATGCCCAGTCAGCTCATAAAGAAATCCAATGGTCCAAGTTGTCCCCTGAGAAGAAAGCTCTCTGGCGTGATGCAGCTGCTACTGATTGGGCTGCTTATGTGGACAACAAAGCCATCCAAGTTTGAGTCTGGAAGAGTCCAAGCGTGTGCACAGTGACTTGGCAAAGCGTGGTGAACTTGACCGCATCATGCAGCCCCGTTTTGTTTTGACTGACCAACATCAAGGGCTCCGAACTGAAAGCCACCCGCTTCCCATCAAAGCTTCATCGCACTTGGTTGTTCCTGGCTATCGTGATCGATCCAATTTAGAAGGTTGCTTGCGCCGTGATGCTCCAACAGGTTCGAGATTGGCGCAGCACTTTTTGTTTTGTGTGGCAGTGGTCCATCATTTCTGCAGATGTCAAGGCAGCCTTTCTGAAAGGCGATCCATACCTTGATCGTGAGTTGTACCTGAAGAACACCAATCCAGCCACTTCACCTTCGTTGCCATTGAAGGAAGGCCAGCTGTGTCGTGTTTTGAAAGGCATTTTTGGTTTGGCTGACGCACCTCGCGAATGGTGGCTGAGATTGTCAAGGGCAATGGCAGAACATGGATGGGTGAGATCATTGATTGATGGTGCAATGTGCATGGTGCCTTTGGACAATTGACAAGACCATCATCGGCGACGCCAATGTCGATGAGAAGGGCACTGGCAAAGTTCTTCGAGGCCTTGTGGTCTCACATGTGGACGATCTTCTGTTACTACTACTACTACTACTCCTACTACTCCTACTGCCACTGCCACTGCCACTGCCACTGCCACTGCCACTGCCACCGCCACCTCCTCCTCCTCCTACTACTACTACTACTACGACTACTACTACGACTACTACTACGACTACGACTACGACTACGACTACGACAACGACAACGACAACGACAACGACAACGACAACGACAACGACAACGACAACGACAACGACAACGACAACCACAACCACAACAACAACAACAACAACAACAACAACCACAACCACAACAACAACAACAACAACAACAACAACAACAACAACAACAACACATGCAAATAAACTATGTCACATTACACTACACTAACTACACTACACTGCACTAATTACACTAATTACATCTAATTACATCTAATTACACTACAACAACAGCAACTACTACTACCACAGCTACAACTACAATTACAACTACACCACATTACGCTACACTGCACTAATTACACTGCAGCACACTACAGCTACACATACAAATGCGACCACAACTACATTACATTACACAACACTACGCTACACTAAACATTACATTACGCTACAACTACAACTGCAACTGCAACTACAACTGCAACTACCAGCAACTACCAGTAAATCGCACTAAACGACACTACACTAATTGCACTACACTACACTACAACTACAACTACACTACCGTACACTACACTAGACTACACTACACTATACCAAACTACAGTACACAAGACTACAGTACACTACAGTACACTACACTAATTACACCACACCACAACTACAACTGCAACTGCAACTGCAGCTACACTACACTAATTACACAGCATTACAACTACAACTCCGCTACGCTACACTACAACTACAACTACGACTACAACTACATCTGCACTACACCACGCTACATCCAGCGTCTGTGATGAGGTGACCACTGCAAACATTGCAACCACCCAAAAATACACCTCCAACCACCTTTCGGTCCATCAGTGGATTCGCTCTGCCATCCGTGATTCACAACAACCAGCCTCTCCTATAGGTTTACATAGGTTTACTATTTTTGAAACTTCCGCCACCGCCTTGTGCGGTACTACGGTATTCTTAAGAAGTGTGCCATGGCTAGTTGCAAATCACTTCTGGCACGCGGTGTGTTCAAGTTTTCGCGGCGCAAAGTGCAGGATGGTCACCAGTGGTGGCATGGTTGCATCGCTGCACAGACGTCATGGTGGATGTCCTCGAGATCGAGACTTCCAGGGGCAGGTTGTTGGCAACATCAGAGCCTTGATCTGGAAGTGTGTCATTTTGCCAATGATCAGGATGAAGTGCTGATTGTGTTGATGCTGGTAACCGTCATAAGTTGGATGTTGTTGTCGTTGTTGTTGTTGTTGTTGCCGTTGTTGTTGTTGTTGTTGTTGATGATCATCATGATGATGTCTGTGTTAATGACGGCGATGAGATTGACGAACAAAAGTTCAAAGAAGTTCCTGGCATTGCCGAGCTACATGGGGTAGCATTGCCCAGCAAAATTCAATAAGAACAAACTGAACATTTGAGCCATTTGTGGCATAGAGGGTCAATTCAACAAAGCCTCCTGATACACGCACCTGCTCACATCCAGGACGGATCGTGTGTGAGGCTAGTTGCTCTAGTCCAACACGGTGAATCCAGTCATGCCAGGGATTTTCAGAAAGCGGGAGTAGGTTTGCTGCCAATCAAGTCAAAGACCTGTTTCCTTTGTTTTCGGTGCAGAGGCAAACGTAGAATATCAATGGATTTGGCCAACCTTCCCCTGGATTTGACCGAGGAACACTTGCTCTTCCGGGCAGATGGTTCCACTGTTCCTGCCTATGCGGTTCAATGCAATGACGAGCTGGCATCTGGAGGTGGCCGGATTGCTGTCGTCAACAGTGTGCGACGTTCCAAAAGTCTTGGATACTCGCCCTTGATTGGAGCCTTAAATTGCCCCCAAACCCCCAAGCAACTAAAAACCATAAAAACATATAATAACCATAAAGATGTTTTTTCCCAACAGCCAACAGCAAAACTTTGCTATGAGGTTTTTAGCCCAGATTAGCTCCGGTGCAATCCAGGTTCCAGACAAGGTTCCGGAGGGTTCTGATGCAGAGACCTGGTGAGGTTCCGGAGGGTTCTGGTGAAGATACCTGCTGAGGCTGCGGAGGGTTCTGTGCGGTTCCGGAGGGTTCCGGGGCAGCTACCTTGTGAGGTTCCGGAAGGTTCCGGTGCAGAGACCTTGTGAGGTTCCGGAGGGTTTTTGGCGGAGAAGATGCTTGGTGAGGTTCCGGAAGCAGATACCTTGTGAGGTTCCGGAGGGTTCTGGTGCAGATGCTTTGTGAAATTCCAAAGGGTTCCGATGTTTTTATGGCATAAGCACTTAATTTTTTGGGCATAAGCGCTTTTCTATGGCATAAGCATGCATAAGCACTTTGTATAGCAAAAACTCAGAAGCTTTCAAGCTGTTGGGGATAGCACCTGATTTTATTTTGTAGACGCTAATTAGCGCTGATGGTAGGTGCGATATGTAGATAATTCGACCCCAAGGACGGGGTTGCCAAATTTATTCATGCATTTACTTTGACGTGGAATCTCTGACATCTTCAAGACTGAACTCAACTTCTAGCATGGGGTAATTGTGCTCTTTCCTTCTTGTCCCAGTGGACATGAGAAGTTTCAGGATACTACGCACCTCTCACGCAGAGTGGGCAGATCCAAGTCTCTGGGGTGCGTTGCTCGTGCTACATCGAAACGGGCTTCTCACACACTGCGATGAACCTGGCCATGCTGCCTCTGCGCTGGGCTCCAGGAGCTGTGGCCAGTTGATGTTTCTCACAGGATTTACCCGGACTGAAACAGATTTTCTTCATCCCAACTTTCCACAGTGACTGTTTGCATGCGACACGCACCTCAAGTCAACGCCAATGGTGACGCGCAGCCTACAGATGACCTGCGTCCTTCACCATAGCATTAGTGCAAACCAGCCGCAGGATGGATGTCTCCCTGGTGTGCAGAGATGTCGTCTGAGCAGATCCACGATTACGCAAAATTCCTCATGATGTTCTTTTTCAGTGGAGGTCATGTGGCGACGTCTAGGAGATCTGCACTGCAACTTGGTCTTGGAACATGTGGTGGTTGAATTGGATGAGATTTGTTGCATGTTTGTTGCACTGCGACAAAAAAGAGTTTCAGACTTCTCAAACATAGAGTTAGTGTGCATTTGCAACGAAATGGTTCGATTCACAAGGCAGAATCCCAGTGACACACTAGTTCGCACCGAGGTGTCTTGAGACCTGGGCACAATGAGAACTTCAGCTATATATGATGTAGAAAATGTACCTCGACATATCTCGACATTATACGAACCCTGCAACTCTGATCTTTGCCAACAAATTCGAGCAATTTCTGTTCGAAGTTGCCTTCAACACACGGATGAACTGGCCAGCTTTCTCTCGTAAGATCTATAAGAAAACACGCGTGGTAAACAGATAGAGCAGGATAAGTTGCAGCTGGTATTTGTTGTGAAAATATTTTAGTTGGTACAGTTTTCAATTCAGATTATGCAATGAGCTTTGTTCAGTTTCGCCTAGACATGTACCAACATCTTCAGTACACCTCCTACTGTCAATGTACATGATTTTGCTAAGGATATGCTGAGTGAATTGGGTCTTGAGAGCACGGCCCATTTTCCCCACGCTCTCCAGGCAAATGGTTCGTGGGTTGAGAAGCATATATAGTATATAGTAATCATTTAAAGGGTGATGCCTGGAGTGTGAACTTGCCGGCTCTCTTTTGGTGGCTGCCAGTGGGTGAAAACCCATTGCGCAGCTAGAATGTTTAACAGTTTTGATAAAGTGTGCCCAACAGTGCAGGTAGAAGCTGCCACTGGTCAACGGCATTCAAAACATCTAAGTTGAAGCAGGGATAGGAGATCGTTGGGCCATGTTGTGGTAAGGTTTTGACAATTTTGAGTTTTCAGCATGCAGCTGACCTTGGAACAGTTTCGTAAATGTGCTCAGTGTAGGTCGTTGAAGCTGGCCTGGAGTGCAGGTTGGCTCATGTTTTGCGGAGCTCGTGGATTGGTAGTCCACGACGCGTTCCAACCTTTTTAAAAGGGTCACCTGCGGCACAGACGCAGCTGTGTTGCTCCTCAGTTTCGTGAACGTTGGCCAACTTGGGGGAGGCCTGAAAAATTGGCATGAGAAGGATGGGGCAGCAGGCTGCATTTTACTCTTGTTCAATTGCGTATTCTTCTTTACCGGAGACACTGATCCTCGTCTTTTTTTTGCAGCCATATCGGTGCTGTTTCTAGAAACCAAACATACTGAATCGGATGATGCGGCACACCGTTTCTTCATGACAATGCTCAAAGCCTTTTGCCATTTGGATGGGGACATTTCAATGAGAGCCCTTGTTTCTTTCAGCAGATTGCTGAGGTGCAAGTTGCTTGCAGAAGATCCTCTTTGGCGCCGTTTGCGTGTGCTCCAGCTATCGGATTTATCGAATATTGTGACATGTTGTGACATGTTGTGACATGTTGTGACATGTTGAGAGCCTGGGAAAAATACCTGCCCCAACAGTGGGAAAACATGGGTGCAGCTTTTCATATTGAGACATTTTCACAGTTTGGTTTGGAAGGACCCCCATGAAAAACCAATGGGGTTGGTTCCACCTGTTGGTCATCCCTTAAAGAAAGGCAACCCCCCGTGGATGACAGATCCAGCCACCTAGCCAGCCCATGTCAAGGCGTTGGATTTTCACTTCGAAACACAGCCGTTGCCCAGCTGCTTCGGCGCCACACTCCACGGCCTCTTCCGATGTTGTCCATGTCTCAGCAAGGTGGGTCCTGACAGCGAAGGTGGTCTGGTGGTTGATGGATGAGTCCCCAGGAATGGGATGGTGCTGCAGGCCCTTATTGTGATCCCATCCATGCGTTCCTTCCCACAAGGGCCAACAACGCACGTACTGGAGAAATCAGCTAGTGTTTGTCATGTGCAAACCACCACAGAATAACAGGCCAACCACAGAACCCCTAAGGAAGCAGTTTCAAAAATCCCAGTTGGTTGACGATTGTAGGAGGTTATGCTACTCACATATTGGGGCTTACCATAGTCTATCATGAAAGTCCCCATTATCGAAGATCAGCTTCGATTATTATATGTAATCCATGAATCCCCAGCAATCCAGATTCTATGGGAATTTCAGGACCCTAAAATAGAGCTACTTACTGTATCATATAAAGCCATCTTTTGGGGGTATATCCCCTTACACAACCCTTACATAGGCTTTATATATGGTAGGTACCTCCAGTAAATCGGTACCTGAAAGGGCCATTGACATCCATTGACATCCATTGACATCCATTGACAGCCGCAAGGCCATACTAATCCGTGGGAGATCTCAATCCATTCATCCACATTTACCCTAGGTTTACAATCCATTAATCTACATTCATCCATTAAAGTACGATCCATTCATCCATGGGTTATCAAAATCCATGGGTTTTTGACCCGCTTCCTCTTGGCAGATGATCTGTGCCATGACCATTGCTGTGGAGTTTATGGTGCCTCTTCTGAGCTTCGGAGTCCACAGGCAGCGGCCACCGTGTGGAAAAAGGGAGGTGGAATGATGGGTATAAAAACCAACCAGTACTTGGGATATCATGGAGATATTTCATGGAATACTCTATTATAAATATATATACGTATTTATAATGCATTTTGATCAATATTTCAGGTTCCGGATCTGGTTTGCTTTGAATTTTGACGCGGATTGGTTGACTTAGGATGTTGAACTGGGGCAGCCTGGAGGTATTGCCGTTTCGCAGCCTTTGCACTTGCGAGTGCCCTGATGATGATCATCGCGCTGACAGGTGAGGGGCCTCAGGATGGTCACCTCTTAACCCACCGGTCTCCTACTTACCATAAAGTATCAGGAAGTCTTAAAGGATAGTGTAGTTAAATAGTGTACTATCAGGACTGGTAAATAAATGTAAATAATAGATAATAATAGTTCTTATATAACTACCTCCGGACTGGTAAATAGTAGTTCCTAACTACCTTCTACTTACCTTAAATAGTCATATTTCTTTTCTCAGCATTCTACACTAGTTCGTTGTGTGCCTTTGAGCTCTTTTTTTGGTGTTCTTCCCATGCCCACCCACAGCCCATCGCATCAACCACAGCACAGCTGCAGAGGCAACTTCGGTTTCTTTAATTTCCTCACGGCGGTGCTCGCCGTGGCATTTCTAGGCACTCTTTTTGTACTTCGAAGTGCCACGTAGTGGGTTCTTGTCGCCGTGGAACTCCATTCCATCATTTGCTCTCATTTCCCCATTGCTTCATAGCCATACATTGGAGTATCTCCCATCTTGAGGCAAACTCTTATAGAAATAGAAGGATAATAAAGATAGTAAGCTACCAGAGTAGGAGTTCAGTTGCTTGACCCAAGCTGCAGAAACCAAGGGTTTTGCACAGGTTTTTTCACATCCAGGTGATGATGTCTTGTTGTGGACATCCTCTTGGTCTTCGAAAGGTGCCATGGAAATCTCTCCCCCCTTCTGGCTGTACCAATGGGGGTATGTATATGACATTATGATCCATGTTACCATGACATATCATGGTGATAAAGGGTGATATCTTTGTATAATTGGGATACTGTATATGTATCTGTATATATATAATTATATCTATCTATCTATCTATCTATCTAACTATCTATCTATCTATCTATCTATCTATCTATATATAATATACAAACATAATAATGCACATTTGCATGTATTATATATATATACATGTACAGATACACCATTATACACCTGTATATAGATGACATGTCCTACACTTCATTGAGATAAACAGCCACTGGGTACGCTGGGCTTCATCATTGTCCTTAAACTGACGGGGAAGCTCTTTCCCAGGCATTGCCTTCTTGAACCAGACATTCGTCTTCAACGCCACCAATGACACGAATGTTTCGTCAGGCGGGGGTTGCTTGACTGGTTGGCATTTGTTCAGTTCGGCACGCGCAACAGCGGGGGAAATTTCGGAGCGCCAGGGAGCGTTGATGTTTTTGAGCGAGACATTTGGTTTCGGTTGCTGCGCATATTCACGTCGCTTCGCGACGGCAACCGCCCGCACCGCATCGTTGGGCAGCTGCTCGTAACTGCCAATGATGTCGGCCATTGAGACCAAAAACATCCGAAAGTACTGATTGTCGGAAAAAAAACGCGAAGAATTTGATAGCCATGTATAGCGGACCAACGCAGTTCAAAAAATAACGAAAAACATGAAAAAACGGCGAAATTGCTGTTATTTACAGTGTTTTTGCGCGGTGAGAAGCAGAAACCACTGCAAATACCATGGTTTTTGAGGGTCAGGTGGCCAAAAACACTGTAATTTACAGTGTTTTTTTAACCAACGTCAAAAAACACTGGTATTTACGATGTTTTCATTCACACCGTAACATAAAACAGCGTAATTTACGAGGTTTTTGGAAGTTTTGAAGCTAGCCGTCAAGCATGCAGAAAACAGAAAAACACTGTAAAAACCAGTGTTTCTGCTATCACAAAACGACGAAAATCAGTCCGAAAACGGGTCACCTGCGGAACCGCAAAAAAAGATGTTGCAAACCAAAAAATTGAGGTCAAAAAGTTGAAAAACACAGGGTTTTTTCACTTTTCGCTTGCCGATTTTGGACGGGCGCGTTCACGAACAGGTGTCTTCCGTACTGTTTTTTACAGTGTTTTTTGAAGGCGAGCGTCACGACCTATCAAAAACAGGAGGTTTTGGCCGAAAAATGGGACCCACCCCCTTTTACGAGTGCCATCCGGAAGATCACGCCCCAGCACCTTCGGTGCGGGCGGATTTCGAGAGATGAACCAACATAAAACTGAAGTGGATTGATCTACAGCAACTTCCATTGTCCCCAGCTGACAAGATTTCTCAGATTTCTAGCCCGTTCAACCCATGTCAGGCAATGTGTCTGCTCTACCCATGCCAGGCAGGATTGGTCCTACCCCAAACGGTTTTTGTCCATCCCCAAACGGTGTGGAGGAAAGTCGTAGGTTGACAGAAGGGATTATGTATCGCAGCAGTATCCAAAAGCCAAACATGCTGAACTTCATCCTATCAATGAATTGCTCCACCCCAACTTCTTCGTTTGTTTTTTTTGGTTGTTTGTCCTTGCTACAGTAACTGCTACAGGACTCCAGGGTCAAGCTTGGCAAAACTTTCCTCTCTTTTCACATCCGCGACCTTTGCATGAGAATCAGGCAATGAGTCTGCTCTGCCATTGCCAGGCAGGGTCGGTTTGCATTCCTGCGTGGCCATGATCTGGTTCACTATGGTGTTTCTCATAAGGTACATCGAGTGCATACCATGATGTACTATGGAATCTATAGGTATCGATGGATCCATTCCCTACAAAGCCAACAGTATCCAAGACTCGAGGGTCAGCATAGTCAGGCAACGTGTCTGCCGTACCCTTGCCAGGCATGGTTTGGCGGTATACAGGGCAGTCACCACAAGATGGAATTGCCATATATTCTCTGAGAGGGAAACAGCACCATTCACGGGAGTTTTGAGCAGAGATTGCCAATATATGAGCTAGAAGGTGCTTTATGTTTTCCTGAAGATAGCTAGGTCACTGGACATCTTAAGCGTTTCTGTGCCGTCCTGATTATTGAATCGGACCAGTTTACCTCCCTGTTTTGGAAAGTGGCAGGTCTGCTGCCGGTGATGAGTGTGACGGATAGCACAGCTGCGCGACAGCTCATTCAAGTAAACCCAGCATGTTGCGTCTGGAGCCTTTTACGAGCGTGAATGTAGAAAGAGATAGAAAGAGGAATCCCCTCATCCAAGATAGGAGAAACATCATCCATCCATATCCATCCCAATTTTTGTTGAGAGGTCACTAGGAAAATGACATTCTTTCACGTTGCGAAAAGTTTTTTGCGGGTTGACTTCCCATTTTTGGCCAGAAATATGTGCAAACTCAACAACCACTGGGAGACCTGGTCTTTGAAATTGTGGTGGCGTCTTGGGCTCTGAAGAGAGCTGGGGGCATTGGTGAAAGGTAGGCTGCTGCAGCTCTAGACTTTGGGAGAAGTTTGGCATATTGTGGGTATATACACTTTGAGTGTACAACTAACTATCATACAACCATTCAATTCCATTCCTTGAGTATACACACGTTTTTTTTTTGGTATTCCCCTGTGTGAGGTGAATCATTCCTTGGTGACCAACAGATGGGAACACATGATTTGGCTGACCCACCACAAAGTCGACGTGGTTTGTATGGTAGACTTCTCTATCAACTGTTGAACTGTTGTTAATGTTGTGTTTTGGATCATTCCAGACCGAACACGGTGATTCCCTTCCAACTGGATGCTTCCGGGATATCCAGGATTCTGAGGCTGGGTTGAATTCTCGGTATCCAAAGAAGCCAATCAGCAAGGGACTTGAAGGACTTGCCTCCTAGCAAGGCTTCTGTTGGTGTATTGTTTTGATCAATCACGCAAGATTGATTCTACATTGAATGTAAGTACCTAGACTGGTGGGAAGAAAAACACATAACATATTATATACGTTTTGTGTTCACAGTTGGATGCCACTGAAAATGACAAGCGAGTGGTTTTTTTAGTCACTTGGCTTTGCCACAGCACTATGTTTGGGAACTTGTTGAAATCCTCCTGGGGATGGTCAAGCTGCCAAGCTGTTTGTGATCCTGGATGGATGCACCTGAGGTAGTGTTCCTCTCGCTGCTGCTCCTGTGCTATGCGGCAGAGACCACCATGCTTTTGATGGTGCCTGGACGTATGTGGCCATCTAATGGAGTCATAGAGGCTGGGAAAACCCATCTGGAAAAGAACATCTCTTCCAGGTACGTAGATTTTGAAGAATCATCCATTCGGAGTTTGTTTTTTTTTTGTCTGAGGCAACTCATTTGTGAAATCTGCATCATTTGGAGATTTTCCAGCAAGGAGCAAGGCCAACTAGTTGACTGGAGGGTAGATCCAGCAACGTGCAGAAAGCGAGGCAGAGCCACAAACTCAAAACTCAAGCTGCACCATTGAAGTGGTTTCTACTCTTCAGTAGACTCACGTAGCTATGAAAATTGATGGGTTTAGGACATAATCCATGGAGGATATCTGGATATCCATATGGGGATGGGTCAATACCTATTAATACCATTTTTAGTGGGATGAACATCCATTTACCAGCTATTTTGATGTGAACTACAGGGGTACATGGTTTTGACCCATTCCCATATATCTTTCTGTATGTTTCCTATCGATTTGTCCTTTCCAGTCGGCAGATCTTCACTCCTGGCCCCGATGGATGGGCTTTCCGAGGAAGGCTTCAGCAAGGGCGAGTCCAGTCAGGTGGGATGACGAGTCTCCGAGGTTTCCAGCTTCCAGTTTCACCATTTTGGTGGTTTTTTCACCTCAAAATGTCGGAAAAAACCATGAAAAAACAGGCTTCAGTGATCTCTTGAGTGTACAATTACATCATCCAACCCTGACAAGTCTGAGTTTTTTAAAATGATTTCCCCCCATTTTTTTCCCACGAAAAATCTGGGACATGGGGATTTTGTTCGACAGGTGGCGATCCCTTGGAGGCCATGGATGAGGACCATGGGTTTCTGTCAAAGTTATGGCCTCTTTGGATCGGTTGAGCAGGCGGGTTATGGCATCTTTTCCGTTGGAATTGGTGAATTGGAATTGGGATCCACTTTAATTCGAGATTTTATATATGAATATATATATATATATCTATCTATCTAACTATCTATCTAACTATCTATCTATCTATCTATCCATCTATCTATCTATAGAGTATTATATTATATATAGGCGGATATAAAAATCATGGTTTCCTGTAGATTTTCGCTTGAATCAATCCATTGAATCAAACGATGGAATTGGATCCTTGTCTTTCATTAATTTCAGATAGAAATCTTAAGGGTTCCAGTTGAAGCAGTTGAAGCTGGAGGCAGCTAGTTATAAAACTTCGTCAGATAATAAAGTGACCGGTCAAACCAGAGGTTGGGAGCTACAGATTTTGGTGCCAGTGGTATGATATTATATATATATCATCCAACCTCTTAGGGTACCCGGTACTCTTGAAAGACACCGCAATGCTCAGCTGCAACAAGCTGGCAGGTGCGAAGGGAGTTGGTCATCCTAGAGCTACGACAGGGTCAATGGAGGGAGTTGCAATGGAGGTGCACGGGCTGAAAGGGACGACGACTCCTGTTTTCGTTTGGTGGGCAACATCTGTTTACGTTTGGGGATTCAAAGGCACAGGCAAACGACTGGATCTTCTACTGTACTCATTTTCTTTGGAATATGATCATGGATGGTTGAAAGGAGCTTGCAGAAAAGCCTCAAATAGACGTCGATAAGAGAACCAGCTCAGCCGTTTTGAACTTTCTGCCATGTGTTGTCTATGAACATCTCCAAAACTGAAGCAGTTTCAAGATTTGGATCCGAGTCCAGAGAGGGTCATGGTACAAGTGAGTCTTGACTAGGTACAAGCCAGGAGACGTGACCCTGCCGTATCTTGGAGAATGCGTTAATGCACCGTGTTGCATGATGTTGGGTGTTGGATGAACCATTTTCGGCCTTGGCGTGAATTCTGGATTCGAATATATTGAGGGGGATCAACAGTTGTACGCAGCTACAAAACCCGTAGGGAACAATCTGGATCGTGGTGTTGGCGGGATGAAACTCAGATAGTCTTGATCGCTCACAGCAGCAGTTCTGCCAAATTCGAGATCTCAAGTTTATATTTTTTTTTTCCCAAGCTCTTTTTTTGAGCTCCACATGTGGTGATAAAAAGCCATAAAAAGCCATAAAAAGCCCATATTTTGCTTAGATTCCCCCAGGAATGGGAATCCAAGGCTGAGCTGTTGCAGCTTCCACATGCCACGCCTAGAGCCTCGGCTCAGTTGATCAACAGCTGAATTCAGGGGCCGGGTGGACCCTGAATACCCTGGTGTCCGTGGAAATTCCCATTCATTGTGGCTCCAATAATCTGGAAAACAGGTGGGATTCTCTTGAGTCGGTCCAAAAATATATATATATATATTATGTATATATATATGTATATATATGTATATATATGGAAACACAGGGTAACTTCCCAAAAATCCAAGGTTTTGTCATCACTTCCCCAACAGCGACAGCAATTTTGCGGTGTTCCCTACTTGGAGCATTCCATGACTTACTAAGTCAGGTTATAATCCAGCTATAAATGGGATACACACAGGAATCGGGGACTTGACTTAGCAACCAGGCTTCCTCGCCAGTTCCAAAGTAGGGTCATGCTGCAAGCATCAAACAATTCTTTTCTCAACCCCAAATGTTCACTGGATTTAAGATGATTTCAGGGAAACAATGGTTTTTCCAATGGTTTTGCCAATGTTTTATAAGAAACCCATGGTTTTTCCAATGTTTGGCACTCCTGTCTGAGTCGGCCATGAGGACTGGCTATTGTGGCTGGCGGCCATTCGCATCGGCTGCGAGGAGTCGCTGGAACTGCAACGGGAGCTGCAGCTGCGGCCGATGGCGGCGGCACCGGACCGGGGGGCCGATTTTGGCATCGAAAAGTGGCGGTTTTTACTGTCAGACATGGGGATCTATAGATGATCCAAGCATGAATTTTCATGGGGGCTTTTTGAGCAGAAACGTGGGGATGGAGATTTTCAGCAGGGATGTGAATATCAAAGAGTCTGGTTCAAACAGCACTGCGGTTTTTGAATCCATGTTCCATCTTGGGCTTTTCCTGCCGCAAGATGGCAGGATTGGTTGGTCATCTTTCTCGAGAGACTGATGGAAGAGCGTGATCCTTCGCTGTTGGCATTGCTCAATGAGCAGGTCGTGGTCAGCTGGTTCTCGAAGATTTGGGGGTCCGTGGTATCTAAATCTGGCTTGTGGTTGCAAAATGTTGCAAATTACCTATATATGCCTGATTCAGGTGTATTTAATCATTTTATCTATAGTTATCTATAGTTATACTACAACCACCCAAGAATGTGAACATTCCCCAATTAATCATATTTAATCCAATCATGTGAACATTTGGGGTAGCCCGGTGTTCCGATTCTGTGACGATGCACATGATCTCCAGATCCCTCTTCAGGAACCTAGCCCTCCAGAAGCTGTCAAGGTGGAGCTTCACCACTACGCAGCTTGGCGAAGACACCTCTGACGTTGGGTATAGATTGGGGATGATTAGGGTATAAAATGGTACAAATACATAAGATACATCTTCAATTTGAGGACAGTCAAACATTTTGACTGGCGGGGACGGCATACCCGTCTTGTTGGTCTTGTGAAGGAAAACCATGGTTTGCCCATGTGAAGTTGAACATGGTTTGCAAAGATGCCAAGGGAATATTTTTTGGAAATTGTATATGGTACAGTTGGCCCAGTTTAGCCAGAAAAAATACATTAAAATTACCAGATTTGCAAAAACCTCTGGATTTTTTTCATGGGTTTCCTGTTGATTTTCCTTCAAGTTTTCCCTGTCATCCCACCGCAGTTCACGGCGCCAGGAGTTGGTGGGCTCATGCTGCTGTCGAAAGGAGTCCGACGAGGAGGGGCAAGGGTGCTTTGAAAATTTATAGGATTTATATACTGTAACTATGTCTGTGTATTATATATATAATATAATATATACATATGTAGATATATAGATACATATTATATACATGATATAGATTTATAGTTTTTGTACTGATGTGATATGAGTTGAGATTCATGCGATACAGTACCAGCTGAATTTCGTGGCCCTGGTGAAGCCCTTTTTGAGCCACAAGGCAGTTGGTCAGTCGGTCCAAGGTGGCAACCCATCATAAGTTGGTATATTTTAGTACATTCCATATAGACCCCATTAGTTCTATAGTTCTATTCCCCCTTTTTTACATCCATAAATCCATCTTATCCAAGTTACCAAGTTAGCTATCTAGGGGGCCCCAGCTGGGCCCAGCTCAGATCCAAACCATCTCCTGGAGGGACAACTCTCGGTGACCTGGCGCCGGCGGAAACTCTTCGATGTCACCGCATAGCGGCACACGACGTTTTTTCCGTCGTGGGGTGCCCAGTGATGGTATTGGCCCTGACTACCAGGTTTTGATCAAATTGGGGGGTTCAAGATGTGATTTAGTCGACTTTAGTCCTCTTTCGACACGTATCTTACTATGTCTCATTGAGAGGATTTGGGGTTTGGAACATTTTCACAGGTGTCGAAGTCAAGTCTTTTGACAGGTCACCATTGATACGATCGCTGCTACTATGGATCGTTGAAACACCTGTGAAGAAGTGGATTTGCCCTTCCCCTATTTTGACTTCCACCAAACCGAGCCAACCAATCAATACCCTGTTAAAAAGTACACAGGCGCCGATTGGAGCAGGACAGGATCTGAGATTGGAGCAGTGGTTTGAGTGGTAACCAAAACACCCGAAGATCCAAGAAGTGGGTAGATGAACATCCTCAAGAAGAGCCTTTCTCATCTGACATATCTGACATGGCAGAAATCCCAAACGTTTCAGGGGAAATTCATGGGAAATATATAGCAAACTCATGCAAATCATCAATTGATGGAAGATGTTCAGAGATTTTCTACTGCCAGGTCTGATTACCCAACCACAACTGTGTGGTTCAAATGTAACTTCATGGATATGTGATATCTGATATGTACATTACTCTTGTGATTATCAATCATTCATAGCAACACAACAATATTTGCTCTATAGTTGTTATTTCTTCTAATTTGTTCCTTGCTTGTCCATTATGATAAGCTGTGAAAACCACGTGACATCACATTTCTTTGTAGCTTTGATGCCCTTGCATTCACCCTCTTCGCGTGCTTCTCCAATCATCTTTCCCACAACATGATTTGTCATATCCATCATGCCCATTTGAGCCACCGCCACATCACGAGAGGAATGGGAAATGCGTCGGCAAACCAACACAAAGTGGTTGCAGAACCCGTCATCGTTTCGCGTGTGAAAATGACGTTTTCATGCAAGCACCCGCAGGGTCACTGTAATACTGTGTGCTTGATGATTTCAAGCCTTTTGGTCAATCAACGTATCAACGTCTGCCATCATGATATCAAAAAAGCACATAGTCATGGCCCCTTTTTTAAAGATAAAGATGTATGCCATGATATGCCATGATGTGTCTGTTTCTGAATCAATATCTCTTGGATTTCCGGCTCGGGGATAGCAGTTGTACCAGGGTCCAGATGTGAACTTCAGAGAAGTGTCAGGAAAACAGGATTCAACTTTCCATCCGATACGCCTCCCTGGATGTCTTTGGATCTGCGAATGCACTTTGTCCAGCTACCCGCTTCACCAAAAAAACACCGAATCTGGTGCTGTCCCCACACGCAGATTAGCTTCGTGGACAAACTGACGTCCGAGCTGGATTACGTCGACAAGTTGCCGGTCGGATGCGCAGAATTGGCCATCATCCTCTTGGCTGACAGCCCTGTCTCTGCATGCCAAATTAAAAAAAACGTTTCATTGGGGAGGAACTGATCGACTTCTGAAGAGACTATTTCTGGGATTTTATTTGGGTATGGATCAATACCTATAGATACATTTTTAGTGGGATGAACATCCATAAATCCCAGCTATTTTGATGTGAACTACAGGGGTACTATTGGTTTTGACCCATCCCCATTTCTGGGATTTTATTTGAAGGCAGTGATTCCTGTTGAACTGCGCAGATACAGCCTCCACTGGAGCGCCCGAGGTCAACTACAGATTCGGCATGGTCGTTGCCTCGATGATCGACAGGACGACGCCTGGATGGCCTGGAGGTTCTCAACAGTTTCTGGGGATTTGACATGGGCAACCAGAAAGCCATCTTGGAATTGTGGTTTTGGTTGGAGGCTTCGCTCCAGTTTTCGGGATTATATATATATATATATAATATCTTCATTTTGTTGGTCATGCCACATTTTTTTTGTCGTTGAAGGCTTTTTTTTAGTTGATAGTACAAGCACCAATTTTGACAGCGTTTTTGTAGTTCAAGTGTCCCATCTTTGCGCACCAATGTGGGGTGCGTTTGGGCCATCCAGGAAGTACAAAGAGCCACCAGCGTCGCCGCCACCAACGATGCCACAGGTGAATGGTGGACGGTTGGCTGGACTCTAACTCTAACTTTTTGAGGCCCCCTGTTGTGAATCGTTGGTTCAGCATATATAAAACTGAGTTAAGTGTTTTCATTGCGAAATCTGAGTGTGTGGTCTGTACCAACCACCGATGCTGCTCCTTTTGTAGAGTTTTTTGGGAGGAGATAATCGCAGAAATACCATGGACACAACTTTTCGCCCGCTGAATTCCCCTCTGAAGCTCATCAAGTGGTGGAAATTGGGGTCCCCGCATAGCAACGTGAGAAACACTCAATAAGAAACCATCCCCAACACTGGCCCAACAGAGGTTTATCATTGGATCATCCTTGGGTCTTCTGGTGTCCTCATGGCTCCGCCAGGTTCCCCTGCGACTGGTCCTCACAGGGAAACCCTATGCAGGCGAGACACTTGGTTCAGAGTGTGGTTGGTTGATATCCAAAGCCCTTCCAAACAATTTAAGCTCCCCAATTCTGCAATCAAAATCAGATCCACTAAGAGACGTTCCTGGCATCTGCAGCCCAAAATCCGATCTCTGGGAGGCAAGAAGACGGTGGCCCGGCGGCTGGCGGAGGCTTACAACCTGGAGGCGTGGATGTAGTGAGTCAAGGATTGGTTGACATCAAGTTACACCCATCCTTCAGATTCCTTCAGCAGATATGGCGATAGACCTACTGTATGTCATTCCATATTTGGGAGGATAGACATTTTACCAGCTACCTTAGGTTACCAGGGCTTTGAGAATAAGAACACCATCGACATTGTGGGATATTCTAGCTACAGCTACAGGATCCTTGTACAATATTGTTTGAATGTCTCCTGCCAACTCCCGACTCCGCAGCGACGCCCCACCATTGGAGGTCATTGATGTAGAGGAGGTGGTCAGGGAGTCTCTAGCTGCAGGCCCGAGTCCCAGCAATGTGGAAACCTGGGACTGCGAAGGTCCAGCACAGCCTTGTTTTCATATCAAAGCCAGTTCTTGGCCACGGGTTTGTCTGAGAATCTCCACAGTTCATCATCGTCTTCCCTATTAAGGTAACCATAAATATCCATAAATTACACCTTATTAATTAAAATATCCATAGATTACATATGGTCTCCCATGGTCTCTCCCCCTTTGGACACACCCATTGGGTGTTGCTGGGCTTCGGCTCCACTTTAGGCCGGCCGGATGACTACACCCGCGAGCGCGTCAATCGTGGGGGAACCTGGAAGATTTTGCACAGCACCCAGGCATTTTGTGAAATTTTCAAACGCCACCTGTTCGAACCATGCAAATTTGCTTCCGACTTCGACCGCAAACAAAGGCAAGAGATATATCAGATATGTTTCAAGTTTACTGTTGATGTTTGGATGTTGAGTTGGGATGTTTGCAATTTTCTGATTCCTGTGGTATCAACACCGCAGTGGGGATTGCCGTCCGAGGTGAGCTCCAGGCTCGGCTGCGGGTTACCACTGGGATTTTTGGGGTGCACTGGAGGTTACTTTTATTTATGGGTAAAACCGGTATAACCATGATATTTTAACCCCTCAAAGTTCGGATATACTCCCTATAACTATGGTTATATGTCCACTTATAACTGGGGTTGAGCACACCCGATATCAAATTTCAAGGGTTGCATCCGTCTTGTGGGCTCGAAAACTGCCTGCCAACGTAGACCAATCTGTTCTTTGGATGGCTGGAACTACAATGTATATATATATAATATAGAAGATCGGTTGGGGATTCGCCCAAGATTTGTTTCTTTTGCAACTCAAGCACAGGGTTGATAGGTGCAAAAGTTGTGAGGTGTGAATCCTCTTTGCACCACATGACACATGGTCGCGCATCGACATTCCAAGAACATCCAAGAACTAGGCTTGCCTTTTACGGCACAATAACTACGATAGGGAAAACTTGTCCAAGGGGACTGAAGCAAATCGTTGTATATCGTAGGTCATCAAACCCAACGATGCCCGATTTGTCATGAACTGATTGAGGTGCTATAGATGTTTACAGCATCCTTTCTAAGTTGGACAACCCCTACAGTACTCAAACACAGCAATAGGAACTCCCCAATTTAAGCGGGAAACTGATCTGCAAATTGGCAATTTTCCATTAGACTAACAAGGAGTACATGACGAAAATTTCAAGCTGACAGCACCTCAACATCCTCTGCACGCTGTGGATTCTGCAGAAGCCCTTGAGGTTGAGCATGTTGAGCTAGAGCGGATGCTCGAAGTCCTGAAAGTTCGCGTTTCTTTGCCGAGTGGCCGGTGGGAGGATGTATCAGTACCAGTCAATGGCAGGATTTTTGACTTGAAAATGGCTGCACAGCAGTCTTTGGAGCAGAGTTTCCTGAAGATTGCTGGGCCAGACGGGCGTCTCTTGGATCCAACAAAATCTCTTCAAAGTGCATGGCTTAAAGATGGAGACACCATTGCTGCAGTCGCACAGCAGCCAAAGATAGCTGCAACATCAAGCGCTTTTGCTCTCTGGTGTATCGGAGGGGACAAGGTTGTTACGTGGGGCAGTTCGTTCCACGGCGGTGACATCTCTGCCCTTGACGTGGGGTTCTCCCTTTTATCATGCCAGTCTCAGTCGTCTCCGTGACCATGTCCGGGACCCTGAAGAATGTTGAGCAGGTCCACGTCACGAAGGAGGCATTTGCAGCGATTGTGGCAGATGGATCGGTTGTGACGTGGGGCAATGAGGATAGCAGCGGTGATAGCACTAGAGTCCGGGAACAGCTCAAGAACGTCCAGCGGATTTTTGCTACGGAGCGTGCTTTTGCTGCGATTTTGGCAGACGAGGGTGTTGTGGCATGGGGCAGTTCAAGTTATGGTGGTGACAGCACCAGCGTCCGAAATCAGCTTAAGAACGTTCAGAAGCGACGTGGGGCCATGTAGACAGTTGTCGTGACAGCATGAGAGTCCGGGATCAGCTCCGGAATCCCCAGCAGATTCATGCCACACGTAGTGCTTTTGCAGCAATTTTGCCAGATGGCTCGGGGGTGACGTGGGGCAATCCGAATTGGGGTGGTGACAGTTCCAGAATGTTCCAGAGTCCGTGATCGGCTCAAGAATGTTCAGCAGATTCACGCCACAAGTTTTTCGTTCGCTGCGATCTTGGCAGACAAGAGTGTTGTGGTCTGCTTGTGGTGGCAAAAGCGAGAAAGTTGATATGCTGAGAAACGTTCCGCAAATTCATGCAACGCGCCTCGCTTTTGCTGCGCTTCTGGCAGACAGAAGTGTTGTGACCGGGGGCATCTCGAAGTATGGCGGTGACAGCTCCAAAGTTCAGGATCAGCTCCAGAACGTTCAGCACATTCTTGCCATGGAGCGTAATTTTGCTGCGATCTTGGCGGATCAAACCCTTGTGATGTGGGGCTATGACATTTTGGACATTGAAAACATTCAAGGTCGGATCTCTTTGATGTAGCAGTCTGGCAACATGTTTCCTGCGGGAAACTCGGAGTAAAAAGGGGGGTTATTTCTGTTGTTTCTGAACATTATTTGCTGGACTCAGACCTAGAATCCTCAAACTTGTTGAACTTGTCTTTGGAGCATAAATCCATCCTGCTTTCATCTGATTTGGGGGTTTGGAGCTGTGGTCGCCCCGACACTGTTTCTTTCTCAAACAACAGTTTCCCATGGTTCACCTGAAAGGAGGTACACTTTCTAGGGCAGTTTCAGCATGTTTCAGCAGCAAAAAAGTGGACTAAGTATGCAGTCCGAATCAGAATTTACTGTACTGGTTAGTAACTCCATATTTGCCTGGGAATATATGCTGGACTCACTATAAGCATTTATAACTAACAATTGATAGCCATAAATAGTAATTTATAACCATTTGTAGCCATTTATAACAATTTACAACCATTTATAACCTACTTACCAACCAACCAACTAAGTAAACATTGCCCAAAGAAGGAGCACCCTCAGGTGGTGGGCGAGGAACTTCAAAGCCTGTTGGAAGCTGGCCAGGTGTGGCCACTGCTGATGGGTCAAAGGTTGGGAAACATGCGTTTTTGTTTTCTTTTCTGATGATGACATACCGATGTTTATGATTGTTCATTTAAATTTCATTTACCATGATTTATGTGATTTTATGTGAATGCTGGCCCACATCCACAACGACTCGCGTGGTTCAAGGCTTCAATTTTACATACAGGGTAACGCGATTTGACTAGGGGAAACTCCATGCATGGTGGTGTTGAGATTGTCAATTTGGAACTTGTCTGAAGATGCAAATGAAACAACTTTTGGTTCAGCTTTGGTTTCCTGTCGCAGCACGAGATGCTGGAGTTTCATGGTGGCAGCATTCTGGCAAGTCTAAGAAATCTGGTGGAGCAGCAATTATGTCATGATTCTCTCAGTCTGTGATCATGTTTACATATCCAGTGTATCCAGTGACCCTTACTCGGTGCCTGAGTGATTTTTTGTCCCAGTCAAGCGACAGGTGGTTCCAGACGAGTTGTATGCAGGGAGCCCCAGGGCTGCAGGGCCCGGTTTTTTTTTGGTGACGCCCGCCTTGCCCAGGTGAAGGTGATCGTCACGAAGATTCGTAGCCTCTTCCCGGAGGCTCCAGTCGTTGGGCCAGAAAGATCTGGCTGGCCCAACATGGTAACGATGGTAACGGACATCAATGGACCCAGGATTTTCACTGGGAAAACAAAATTTTGGGGTTGGTAAATTTGAGCCACCGGCCAGGGTAGGGCACTATCCACTGCCAGAAACCAGAAAGGCCATCATTCTGAGTCACAGAGCGAGGATTCCATGACGATTGCCTTCACCAATGGGAGAACATGCACCTACAATATGCACCTAAGTTATGGCAACAGGAAGTTATCCTTGGACCTTAGCTATCCAGGTCTATAGATATAGAATTCTATCCGCCCCCTCTGAAGAAAATAACAAGAGTTTGAAGCCAGAATTTGGATTCGGGGGAGGGAGTAGACAAGCAAATCTGAGCCATCCTTGTTTGCTTTAAAGCCTGACTGGGAGCGCTACAGACGACGATTTTGGGGTCAAAGTTAGTCAGTTTGATGTCGTGTGATGTAGTGGGTTGCTGGCTGCATCCACATTTTTCCAGCTATGAAACTCGGTTTGGGGATCGTTTCTCAAGTTCGGGGCAGGTTTAGGGGTCGATTAGACAGATTGTTGGTATTGGGGTTCCAACTAGAACTGGGATACAACGGAACATTTGCCCTGCTTACCAACCATTGCATCCCATTTTAGTCGGTATAATTGGGACATTTCGTTGCCAGCTTGGATATCTCATTCTGCCTGGTAGATCTGTTGTATATCTACCCTATATCCCTATATAACTTTGTGGATCCACCTGTTAGAAAGGCATTTCCAGCCCGACAGAAGCGCGCAGGAACCCAAAGAAGCCCCTGCAGATGCAGTGGAGGGCACAGCGGCAGAGAATGCCGGCGCGACAGCAGTGGAGGCTCTGGGTTATAGCAATGACGGGTTTATCATGGCAAGCATGGTGGGTCAAACATTGTGCGAGTTTTCCAAAATGTTACTGTACCCAAAGTTTTTTTTTACCATCCTGGAATCAAAGGTGTCAGTGGAAAAATCACCCATTTATAGATGATGTCCCCAGCTACAAACCTCCCTTTTTGAGGGGATTTCCAGACAGCCACATTTGATGACTCCGGATGGGTATACATCAATGAAAATAAACATGTGGTCTATTTCCAAAAGTCCGTCAAAGCCTTCTGGGTCCCAAGAAATTCAGACCAGTAGCGTGGCGTGTGATGGGTAGAGTTGCAATTTCAGTAGGCCTTTCCGCAAAAGCTTCGCTTGTGATTGGTGGAGATTAGTTGAAGGATGAACAGACAGCTCGGATACGGATAAGAGGACCCTGAGCTCTCCAATCCATTGATTTTGTGATTTCCGAAACTTGGCTGCCCTAATCAGCCTTCATCTTAGCAAAAGTCACTATTCATGTGTATTTATGTGTCATTCAAATCAGGGGTACAGAATCGAGAGAGCTTCAGCTGCAGTTCCCTCATTCTCAGTCACTTGCTGGTCAATGTTCTGCGAAAAAGACATCATCATGTCCGACGTAGGCCTTTCTTTTCCATGGCTTTGTCCAAACATTGGATTATTTGTCCTATAAATTTGCCATTGAAATATATTGGAGGATTGTCTGAGACCAGCGCACCCCTAAGTCCAGACAGGTCAATCATCAATTTCTCTATTGAAATCGCCAGAATTGGGGCACCTTTCAACCATTTCCAGGTCCAGGTCCAGTCACCCTGCCGCTCCACCGGTGCAGGAGCCCACTGATGGGCGTGGCAACGAGGAAGCGCCTGCCGAGGGGGCGGAGATGGCTGAGGCAGAAGCTGAGGCACTGACGGTTTTCCTTCCAGCAACCAATCGAACATAGATATGGAAAATCCATGAAAGGAATGACCATCAACAATGGAATGTCATGGAATGATATGGAAAATTCCAGGGATTGTCATATACAGATACGGAATGATATGGATTGTCATATAGATACGGAATGATATGGAAATCCATGACAATCCACAATTTATGAATACTTTCCCAGGAAAACCATCAGTTTTCCATATATCTATGATAAGTACTGGAGCATCAGTTTCTCATATTTTCCCCATCGTTTGATGGCCTTTTGAAGTTTTTTAGTTGCCTGCCCCATCCATCATTATTTCATGATGTAGCAACTTTTGGGGTTGTTTTGTCCTATTTTGGGACAAACGTATGCCTCAAAATGATCGGCCTTTACCAAGATATGGTTTGACAGTAAACATGATCAACTTCGTGGTTGCTTTTTTGTACCGCATTTTTGAGCGGTACCCATATTTCAACGCAAAAAAGGTCAGTTCAACTTGTCCCAAGCAGAGCAGCCCTGCGCGAGGCAGATGCCATCACCTTATCGCCCATGGATGTGGCAAATGACACCTCTGCTGTGGAGGTGGCTGTGCAGCAGTTGATGTGGATTGATTCGGGTGAAAGACAACAATACATGATCTTCTTCGGGTCTCAAGGTCAATTTGTTTGGAGAATGCAGATTTTCCTAAGACGTTTGGCATTTTTCACTCTTTTTGGTGTCGTGAATCATGCAACGAATTTTGTTGCAGTAGCTCATGCCATCTCATCCCTTTTTTTTTTGAATCCCATTTTTTTTTGGGTAGCAGAACATCATCCCATCTTTTTTGGAATCATGCAAGCCCGTGTTTTCAGGCCAACTGTCTAATTCATTTGATCTTCTTTGCATCGTTGAATATTTTGGGTAGTACATCATCCCATCTTTTGGGGGAAACAACCCAATTTTTTGGAGCCCAGCAACATGGACTTGACCCATCTGGCGGCGCTGTATGACGCTTTGACCAGCATTTTTTCATATTTTTTCCCCATTCCAATTGGATCACTGGATTTGGTTTTGGGACAATTTATAGGAACCCCCTATTTTTTGGTGGGGTTTTCCCATGGTTTCCTGTACATTTTCCCAAGAAAACCCATCAACCGTGAATGGAGCACCAGACGGTGAGGCGGCAGAAGACCTCTTGGCATCTTCTGCGCTCATGAGCCATGCCAAAAGGTCACCAGGCATGGCATGGGCATCCCAATGGGCATGCCATAGCTCGACTTCAAATGAACTGTGGATTTCAAAAAATGGGCATCCTCATATTCTCGAAAGACTGAAAGGTCAACAGAAAAGATAGAACAGGTGATTTCTTGGGTCATTTCTTTGGGAGATTTTGGTTATTTTTTTAGCCAACTGATGAAACACATTTGATATTTTTCTATTCTTTTTCTCAGGGGACACTACGGAAAAGATCATGATCATGATCCCAATGCACAGGTCACTGTTCTAATATGGAAGTCAATGTTTCATCATCCTCGGCTGGAGCGGAATAAGACAATTTGTAGATTCACAATCTAGAATCCTTTCAATAAGTCAAGCCTTCATGCACCCCTCAACCCAACGTGGCCATAATTAAGATGGTAATCGAACATCCACATTTGCCATGTTCGACTTCTGAGCTGTGCCAGAACTGCACCGTGGCTGGATCTTGGTGGGCTTTCCAGACGATGGCAAGCGGGTGTGGATTCTCAGCATGCTGTTGCTCCAGCGGCACAGGGAAGAAAAACGATCTGGACAGAAGACAGCAGTACATAACATCTATCTCATCTAGTCATATCTAGTCCATGTCTATCATATTCTCTTCCACATTTTTACATCCTCAGATAGTGAATGGCATCCAATATAGTCAGTATAGATAGTATAGTCCAAACCGAAGCATCAAAATCCACTCAAGAAGCCAAGTCTCCCACTGAAGCTCCCCTGAACTTAACCCCACTGATCCAACCGTGCAGTTGGCTCTACTGGAGCGCTTCCTTTCGGGCTTTGTGCATCCCAAGGTGTGGATGGGTCCCTGTTTCCATTGGGCGTACTTGGTACCTAAGATGGGCAGGGATTACCTCATTTGTACGGGTCAAAATGATTGGACCCCTTAAGAATGACCAGCTGTGGGGGCAAGCCAGAAGCATCCCAATTCTCAGAAGCCCAATTTGATCATCCCGAGTATCAGCCCAATAATCCTCCCAATCATCATGTCATCACCCAAGTATGATCCCAATATTAAAGAACAAATAGTCACCCACTTGATCGTCCCGATTCATCATTCCCATTCCAAAAATCAGTCCACTATAGATAATAACCATTAATAATCCAAGCATTATCGTAATAATTACCCTCTGGTAAACATACAAAAAACATACAAAAAACATACAAAAAACATCAAACAACTATTGAAAATGACCATAGAAATAGCTGATTTACCCCCTTCGAAATGGTGATTTTCCGAGGGCAGATCATCCCCCAAGGCCATCCGCCAGGCACGGCCCACGCCCAAGGCGCGCGAGCTAAAGACGGAGGCGGAGGTCATTGCACCGAGGCCCCCTGAGGCCGGACGGAGCCCAGTAGGCCTTGACATTTCGATGATCTTCGGATGGGATTTTGGATGATTTTCGGATGAGATTTTTGTTGATTTTTGATGGGATTTTTGAGGATCTTCCACGGGATTTTGGATGATTCTCGATGAGATTTTTGTGGATTTTTGATGGGATTTTTGAGGATCTTCCACGGGATTTTGGATGATTCTCGATGAGATTTTGGATGATTTTTGATGGGATTTTTGAGGATCTTCCACGGGATTTTGGATGATTCTCAATGAGATTTTCAATTTTTTGCGATGCTTCGATGGATTTTCGGGTCCTGCTCCCAGTGCCGTGAGGAAGTGGAGCCGCTGGTGAGACAGCCCGGAGGCGAACTGATTGTACAAGAGATATCAAGAGATGATCCATTCATGTGGTACTGTACCACTACTACTGTGATATTTGAGGTGCAAAATGGGTACAGTATGCCCAGAATTGTGGACAACACCTATTTGTAGGACCGGATGCAGCGCCATCCGTCGCTGATTGGGTTCCACTCGATGAGAGTTGATGTCGATTCTCTCATGTTGTTAGTTTCTTGGAAGACATGCAATTTAGATTTCAGTTACTGTACTCCCATGTTCCCGGTTGACAAAGCCCCCATATCGGTTGGTTGATAAATTGATATTCATATTTGTCCGTGTTGATTGATCGCATCTCCCATTTGGTCGGAGAAATGACAAGTTTTGGTGGCTGTTATGTAGGGGTTCAGGCTGATTGCACCATCGGTGGGATATCAGGGCCAAATACTTGGTTCCTTCAGGTTATGACCTGCATTTTCGCCTGAACCTGTCGTTGGACGAGTCTGTCCGAAGGGCTTGTGGCCGACGCCAGCACCCCAGGTCCTGACAGCTTCAAATTGTCCTTCCGGTGTGGATGAAATGTATTGAGACATGATTCCAAATCTGTAGACACATTCGTCATTATATATTATATATATATATATGTAATAGATAATTATATATATATATATATCAATATATATCAATATATATATATATATTCAATATATTCAATATATACATAATATAATATAATACAATACAATACAATATAATATAATACAATATAATATAACACATATTCTATGCATATCTGCATATCTCACATAGCCCACAGGGTGTCAAACACGGAGGGGCTCCAAGGTATAGATCCCACGACCTTGTTGGAGTACCACATTGAGGAGGGCGACACCGGTGACATGTGACACCGGTGGTCATTTTGAGCATAGGAAATCATAGGAAAACCATAGGAAAACCATAGGAAAATGGTGGTTATACCCTCTGGTAAACATACAAAAAACTATGGAAAATCACCATTTTTAATGGGAAAACTCACTATTTCTATGGCCATTTTTAATAGCTATGTAACAAATTGCCAGAGGGTACTAGCTGGGTTCAAAAGGTAAGACCTGTCACCACAGATTGCAGAAATGGTTAGGCCATGTTAGGCCGTTGCTTATCTGTTCACCGTGATATTCTTGGCCATAAAGTTTAAAACTCATTTAAGATCTAGAAGTAGCATCAAGTAGAACATCTTGGGCTGTCCAAATTTGGGTCATGGTTCTGAATCATCCAATCATGTTCTCCAGGACATGCCTCCACCCAACAAGAAGACCGTGATCTATGAGAGGCCAACGGAGGGCTATGGTTCTGGTAGTTACCCTCTGGTAAACTAACATAGCTATGGAAAATCACCATCTTTAATAGGTAAATCAACTGTAAATGGGCCATTTTCAATAGCTATCTTAAATTACCAGAGGGTAAGACATAAAAAGTCTCCAAGGATCTCTCCAAACAATTCTCCTTTCACTTCAAGGCACCTTGTCTCTTGTGTATTGCAATCCTTAAAAAAAAGGCTCAGAAGTGACAATTCAGTGGCTTTACCACATTAAATGGTGAGATATATGTGATATATGCGATATATCCCCATCCATAAACGCTGGAATTCTCCTGCATAATCTATGCCGAGGCTGTTGCCGGCAGATTCCCTGGAGAAGCTGCTGGACTCAGGATTCACTCTGGAGGTGGACTTGAAGGAGCAGAATGAGAGCTCACTGTAGACCAACCTTTATATATATATATATCCTTATATATATAATATTATATATAATTTCGATCTACCCCCCGCCCAGTAACAGCAGATAAATGATTTTCCTTTAACCTACCCTTTCAAAACGAGCACAAGGAAATTGCTCCAAAAATCTCGGCTAGGAGGTGCCCAAAAATCAACGTCAACCTGCCCTCCAAACCCCTGATACAGAATTCAGAATTCAAGACAAGGGCTTCAGTTTCAAGATCTTTCAAGCATATCAGTTGCATTCCAACATTGAGAAAAGAAGAGTGCAGACTATAGACACTACATTCACGTGTTTCCCTGAGAAGGTGCGAGCAAGGCGTTTGCATCGAAGCAAGGACTAGAACATATTGTGAAAGAATTGGGCAGCTTGATGCAACTGGCATCACAATGTACCATAATGTGCTGAAGCATGGAGTCAGATTGGCCATGTGGGAAAATCGCAATGTTCTTGTAAGCGCAAGGCAGTGCTTGCAACTTGGCAACCATCCCAAACTTTAAATTCTAAACCCTGAGCACATCTGAGCCCTAAATCGCAAAACTTCATTGACGCGTAAGTACCAACAGCCAAAACCAGCACAAGCAGACACAAAAAGAGCACAAAACAAAGCACAAAAAAAAACACAAAAAATGCACAAAAAGCACAAAAAACAAAAAACATCACAAAAAAAAACACAAGAAAAAGCACAAAAAAAGCACAAGGAGACCGCAAAAATAATTGCGAAAAAATTGAAAAAAAGAAGCTTGGGCAAGGAAAGGTCCAAAGGACGAACAAAACGAGCACCAGAGGGACCACAAGAAAAGCACAATTTGAGCACCAGCCGAGCACAATTTTTGAGCACCAGCCGAGCACAATTTGAGCACCAGCCGAGCACAATTTGAGCACCAGCCGAGCACAATTTGAGCACCAGCCGAGCACAATTTGAGCACCAGCCGAGCACAATTTGAGCACCAGCCGAGCACAATTTGAGCACCAGCCGGGCACAATTTGAGCACCATTTGAGCACCAGCCGAGCACAATTTGAGCACCAGCCGGGCACAATTTGAGCACCAGCCGAGCACAATTTGAGCACCAGCCGAGCACAATTTGAGCACCAGCCGAGCACAATTTGAGCACCAGCCAAGCACAATTTCAGCAGAAAAATGAATGCAAAGCACCAGAGGGACCACAAGAAAAGCACAATTTGAGCACCAGCCGAGCACAATTTGAGCACCAGCCGAGCACAATTTGAGCACCAGCCGAGCACAATTTGAGCACCAGCCGAGCACACCAGCTTTGAGCACCAGCCGAGCACAATTTGAGCACCAGCCGAGCACAATTTGAGCACCAGCCGAGCACAATTCGAGCACCAGCCGAGCACAATTTGAGCACCAGCCGAGCACAATTTGAGCACCAGCCGGGCACAATTTGAGCACCAGCCGAGCACAATTTGAGCACCAGCCGAGCACAATTTGAGCACCAGCCGAGCACAATTTGAGCACCAGCCGAGCACAATTTGAGCACCAGCCGAGCACCAGCCGAGCACAACAATTTGAGCACCAGCCGCACCAATTTGAGCACCAGCCGGGCACAATTTGAGCACCAGCCGAGCACAATGTGAGCACCAGCCGAGCACAATTTGAGCACCAGCTGAGCACAAAAATTCGAAAAAAGTAAAACCCAAAAAGTCAAACTGCGCAGCCCCAGCCCCAGCGCCAGGCCCAGCCCCAGCCCCACCACCCCGGACCCCCAGCACCCCAGCCAAGCCCAGCCCCAGCCCCAGCCCCAGCCAGCCCCAATCCCCGGGCTGGTTTGGTGGTGGTGGTTGTCGTGGTGGTAGTGGTGGTGGTGCTGCTGCTGCTGCCGCTGCTGATGGTGGGGGTGGTGGTGGTCTTAGTGGTGCTGTCGCTCGTGGTGGGGTGGTTGTTGATATTGTTGCTAGTTGTCATTGCTAAGGTTGTCGTAGTTGCTAAGAATTGCTACGGTTTCCAACGGAATGTTGGTGATAAGTTGGCTAGTTCCTAGCAAATTTGTAGCAGCCAGAGCCGAGAAGAGAGAAACAGACACCTGTGCAGCTTGATTCCTTCCGATTCACATGAAACATTTTTCAACCATTTGATGATTTAAATATTAATGGTGTCTACCTGATCCGTTTTTTGATTTGGTATAGGAATTTATCCGTATCATATCACCAGATTAGACCCTTATTTTCTGCATTTGGCTGGTGCTCATTTTGTGCCCCTGGCTTGTGCTCACTGTTACTGCCCCGGGGGTAGATCAAATATATAATATATATATATATCCTTATATAATATATATATATAATGTAATATATATATAATATTATATATATAATACATATATATCCTTATATATATATATTATATGTAAGGATATATATATATATATTATATTTGATCTTATATATATATTATATATATATCCTTACATATATAATATATATAAGGATATATATATATATATGTATTATATATATAATATTATATATATCCTTATATATATATTATATATGTAAGGATATATAATATATATATATATATATACATTTATTTATAATATATATATAATATAATATATATATTATAATATCCTTATATATATATATAAACCTACGAATGATGACCCAGGTCCATGGGGACGCTGACGCAGCGGATCCATTGCTTTGACATCGCACAACAGGAGGTGGGAAATTTAGAAACACAACGGAAACCATGGTGGATGTAGGGGATTTCATGTGTAAAAATTTCCCTTATTAGGAAACCACTGATGTATATGAAACCACTTATTTGGGACCATTGTTGGGGGTGTTTCATATTAGGGGGATGGGAATAGTGATCATTGGTTTTCATCAGGATTTTTGACCAGATTTTGGCAATGACACAGATGACGGGGTTGCAAGCGCACTTGACCTTGGGAGGACTACCAGCATTGTTGGACCAGTCCTCTTCACCCTGGATGGAGGTAAAGTTATCGAACTATCAGGTCGTTCCATGCCCATCCCATTAGCCGATGATCCCCAGCTCCCACCCCCAACAGTACCAGGTGAACGAAATCTTGGAGCACTTCGGGCCCTACCCAGACGTCCCACGTTTGGTGGAGGTGCACAACTCAGTGATTTGGGCGGACACCGGCCCTAGAAATGCCACGTTTGCGGAAACCCAACACGTGCAACAGATCCGGGTTATTTTTTGTATCCCATTGTTGTCATTTCTAGCAACTTGTTTGGGCCGTGAACTTAGTGTCCCACAATTATTGCAAGGAAAGTTTCATAGAAAAGGTCTTTATTCAGAAGCAACAACGATCATTTTTGGGATGGAATAGAAGGGTACCAGGGTGAACTGACTCAATGCCTCTTTCAAAACGAAAAAACAATTGCCATTTGTGGATCCATCATATATATATATATTACAGTACATATTACAATTATATATATATTATATATATATATATCTATTCTTGAGCTCCATATATACATGAGCGTCACATTACATCACAAGTGTTTTGCTTCCATGCAGCTCGACCTTAAAAATCCGCCCAGGTGAACGCCATGAGCTCCGCCGATGACACCTTTGAAGCCGTGGAAGAGCAGGCTGGAGCCAGTGGGTCCCTGGGTCGATTTGATCTGAAACCAATTTGAGGATCTCCACTTTCTGATCCTTCTGGAATTTCTGTAGATCTTCAGATTTTTTTTGTCTTGGATGGTGATGTAGCCAGACGGTATATTCTTTTCCGATGGAACATGTAGGGTCCAGTCAGGTCAGATTAGAAGAGGGTATCGGAATTTGGATTTAGGTTTCTCTCGTTCAATGGGGTTATGGCTTGTCAAAAAGGGGGCTATCAGCAAAATGAGAAAATATACCCTCTGGTAATTTAACATAGCTATGGAAAATCACCATTTTTAATAGGTAAATCCACTATAAATGGGCCATTTTCAATAGCTTTTTGTATGTTTACCAGAGGGTAATTTTGAAGCTGAGAGGATTTCATCAAGTGTTGAATGATGTCCCGCAAGTTGTGAATCTTGAGTTTAAATGAGTTTAGTAATTTTTCGAGGCACGGTTCCCAACCGAAAAAAGGGCCCAAGACGTATCTTCAGTTCTAAACTGTGCGTTCCATATGTTCCATCTAAACTTATCAGCAATCCGTGGTTTTGTAAAAAAGACTGGCTGGATGGTGGCTTTGTCATTTGGGTATGGGTCAAAATTAGGTACCCCAATAATTGGATGGTTAATACTAAACTAGACTAACATTTGTGGTCCCCTAGGTCTTCCATTTTGACCCACATCCATTTTTTTCCCCGGCTGTGAAAAGCCACGCATGTTGGACCGAAGGTGGCCATGTTGCTGGACCGCAAACGCGCCGACCTGGCCAAAGCGGAAGAGGCGAATCGCGTTGAGCGCAGCGTGCCGGGCAGTGCGCATGTGTTAGTGTTATGTGGGTATGGATCAATACCTATCAATACCATTTTTAGTGGGATGAACATCCATTTACCAGCTATTTTGATGTGAACTACAGGGGTACAAGGTTTTGACACACTGCCTTATGTCAAGGGAAGGTGAGCTGATGTGAAAAGAGATGAGTATGAATCAGCATGAACCATGATTGCAATTTCAAGGGAAGTGTAATTTGACCGCCACTTTGCCAAGCCGATGGTGGCCAGTTTCTGGCCATGCGCGGTGCGTTCACAGCTGGCCGACAGTTCACCAAGCTACCAATAGTCTTCGCATTAGGATCACGGCAATTCTTGGCATTGGCCCCCCAAACAACAAGCTTCACCATCCACTGACATCGCGACCCAAAACAGGAGGCAAGAGAAGCAGCCAGGGCGGAAGAGGCCTGGAATCCAAGATACAATTTTTCCGATTACGACAATAATCACACCGCTTGTTTCAACAGTTCATCCAGTATGCAAACCTTTTTTACCTAATGCAAATAGGTGGACCAAGATAACCAAGTCGGGTTGAGGCTGCCTGAAACGAACGAAAAAACCCTGCGGTTTGTCCAATCCCAATTCTTGCCGAGTGAACCTGCGTTTGCTGCTTGAATCCCATTTTTTTCATGGTTACAGTATCTTCTCATCTTTTGCTGGGCAAATCCACACTTTTGGCTCCCTTAACACCATTTTCATCCATTTTCCATGATGTAAAAATATGTAAAAATCAACCTTTTGCTGGGTAAATCCATTTTTTTTGCTCAATCTCCCCATTTTCTATGCTGAGAATCTCCTGTCCCAGGCCGCCAAAGAGCCGCCGGCGCCCGACGCCGCCGGCGATGCCGACGCATCCGGCGACGCCGCGGAGCCCGCGGATCCAGCGGCGGATGCGCCGCCGGCGGATGCAGATCCGGAGGTGGGTGGGATCCGCATTGATCACCATAAACAACCAACAAATACATGGGATAGAATGGGAACATGTTGGAGATATAATTAGAATTAATTAGATAATTACTTGATATTACTTGTAGATGATATTAGATGTATAAGCAACACATAGCAACACTATTAGATGTTTTTTTTTGGGGTTGAAAATGGGGTGCCTTCTTATACGGTACCGTCGGTGTTCATCACCATGATCTCCGTAAAGATGGCTGCTGAATTTTCAACTTCTCTCGTTGGTGGCTTCACCTTCTCTCCCCATTCCAATTCAATATCAGGGATCATCATATTTTTAACTTGCTCTAGATTCATTCTCATAAGAATTGGATGATGGGAAAATTTACAGGAAACCCCTATATTAGATGGTAAAAACCATGGTTTCCTGTAGATTTTCCCTTAAACCAATCCATTGACATTCTTATTTTACCGAATATTACGACATTTCTTCAAGTCACATCTCCCAGAAAAAAATTGACCCGAAAAAACAACCCCACCACCACTGGGCCAGACCACGGACGCGCCGCCTGTGGAGCCGCCCTTTGAAGCGGTGAAGCTCGATGAGCTGTTGGGGCGACCCAGTGGTGGTCGAACAGAGGGAGTTTTTCTTTTATAGCGATTTTATGGCACTTTTATAGCGATTTTATGGCACTTTTATAGTTTTTATGGTACTTTTATGAGGATTTTATAGATAAAGTAATGATCAACATTGTTCTACGATCAATTTTGTTGGCAAGATTCAGAAATGTGTGTTCGCTTAGAATTCTGGTGGCCACATTGCCTTCACCAATATAACAAATTTGGATGCTTTAGGGGAACCTTCATGTTGATGGGGGTATACTCACTCTCGACATAAACGTGTCGAGTCGCTGTCTATTTTGGGTTGTGCGGTTCCAGTGTGCAACCAGTGCAGAGGCTTACCCTACAAACATGGCCTGGAGAATTCCCCTTATGGATGATTGTCTCAGCTATAAACCTCCATTTCTAAGGGATTTCCCTCGCCATGTTTGATGGGTCTAGAGATCCCCTCGGATGACTCATGATGACCATCCCTCCACTTCCGAGTTCCGAGGCCTGGTTTTGTCGAGAAGATCGAAGACCAGGTCTTCAGCATGCTGATGGAGGACGGGAAATGATCTGGGGCGGAAAACACACAGGAGTTGCATGCATGGGAGACTTCATGGGAGTTTGAAGGAAAATTTAATGGGAGTTTAATGGGAGAAATGGAGCTACAATGGGATATACCTTTCTGCCAACCAACACTGACTCTGCCATGAGTTGGGAGTCTATATAGGGGAGTGGAAAAAAAAACATTTCCAACGCCATCGAAGTTGCGAGAAGTTGCTCATCCCTAGCAGAATTGAAAGAATTGGCACAGGAGTGGTGTGAATTGCAGGGTGACTTTGTGTCATCCCTTCAACAGCTCTTCAATTGGACCGGATGCCCAGTTGGTGGACGACTGGGGACGACTGGTCATTGTCCATGGGATTCGGTACGGGCCAAGATTGATGGGGGTTTAACGATGTTCAACGGTTTAACCAACAGACATAGCGATATATGTATATATGTATATATGTATATATGTATATATGTATATATTAGTATATATTATATTATATTATATTATATTATATTATATAAATTATATATATATACACCTGAAAACCGTATGGACAATTCTTTTTTTGTCCATTATGGGTTTTACCCGTAACGGACGTTTTTTTTGTTCAATTGCGTATTTTGGTTTTTGATTGTGAAGGGTTGTTCAAATCCTTTGACAACACCGGGTTCGGACATCCTCCGACAGTTTCCAAAAGAGGAATTCCAGTCCGAAGTGGAGCAAATTGATCGGGCACCCAAATCTGGCCACAAATACTGCCATATTTCCTACCAAATTTGGATGTACCCATAAAATACTAGTATTTTTTCAACATCATGTTGAAAAAAAAACAGTAAGCAGATGTCAACATACTGCCCCAAATACTGTCTCTAGACAAGACACTCCGACTGTCGGAACCAGTCCGACAAATCCAAGATTTCAGGAACACTATTGACCTGTAAGTAGAGGGTTTGCAGCCGGACATGGCCGTATTTGCAAAAAAAAACGTAACGGACAAAAAAAAATGTCCAAACCCGTACGGACAGAACTTTTTGTCTTTATGGTTTTCCAGGATATATAATATAATACATATATCATATATATATATACATAATACATACATTATAATAATCATTACAGCTATCCATATGTCGGAAGTTTGACTTCCAAACGTCCTTCGAGTAATGGTTGATGGGGCGCATGGGAATAACGGTGGGTATATCCATCAATAATGTAACATAATGAGATATAACAAACAATAAAACGACATTGCTCTTTGGTATCACTGCCATGGTTTGCAGGAAAAAAAATCCATTTAGTTCACTGATTTTCCCTAGGTGTCCTAAGTCATGGGAGTATCCCAGAAAAAATCATCCATTGATGGTAGGCTTGGATTCCATAAACCATCCAGCTATTGGGGATCCTCCATCCATTTCTGGAAGCCCCATTCAATGGATTGGTTTAAGGGAAAATTTACAGGAAACCATAGATTTTCCCATTAAATATGGGGCTTTCCGGTTAAAATTTTCCCTTAATCCAATCCATTGACCCATGAAACGGATGGAGGATCCACCAGATGCGGCTCAGGCACCGGTGTCATCTCGCAGACTTCCGTGGGGGGCTCTTTGGCGTCCGGCGACCCGGGGATCCCGGGGATGAACCATTGAAAACCTGGAAATGGTGATGTACACATCATCTACAACAACGAAACAATTTTTTAAAGATATATGTGATATAATATGAAGCCTGTTCCAGCCTGCTTCTCAATGGGAGCCTCGCAGGAATTCTTCGGAATATATTCTCCTAATTACTTTCTTTCTGGAGCTTAAGGAATGGTTCATGTGTTTGAAAGGCCGAAACTCTGAACAGCCTTCAACCGCATGTCACCATGGTTGAGTCATTTGACTGACGTGGTCGGTTTTTGACTGACTGATTGTTGGTTGATGTTTCACACCTTCCAATTTTTGTTGGTTACGCATTGAAAATCACAATACAGGATGTTATAGGTAAGTCATCAGAGTTGGGCCATGAACCATAGCAAATCCCTAAATTAATTACAAGAGGGTAATATCCCACCATCAGCTCCTTTATGACATTCAGCTGAAATTCAGCTGTCTTCCCAGATGAAGCAACGCTTTGCGGAGTTTCTGCAGCGCACCGATGGAAAGCAGGATATGGTGGATGACTTTGTCCCTTGGCGTCGTTGTTGACAACTGGGCTATCCCACTTGAAATTGGAATACAACCGGTGCTATGTCCCAGAACATCCAAAACCCTGGTCATCCAAGTTACAAGTTTCTTATACTTTTTAGCCATTTACTGGGCTGCTTATCCAGGCAATGCTCCCTGGAGAAATCACTGCTGAGACCATTGGAAAACTACGGCATTCAGAATCCCTTCCCGATGGGTTCCCCTGGACCTTTCATCTCAGAAATAACCTCCTGCCAAAAAAAAAACTATATACAGACACAATTAGGTTGTCTTACCTCAAAGGATATTATTGAAGTTGAGCAGTATTCAACCAACTCTAACCCATCAAACAACTTATTTTCGAATTATAAATCAATATATATATATATAGATATACCAATATTCACAACATGTTTTTTTACCAACTATTCACCAGTATCAAATCGATTGATTTCACCCAGAGGGGCCGGGAGTTTTTCAACGCCTCGCAGGTATTGAGCTTCAACCTCTTCACTGAGGAATATCCAGACATGCGAAAGCAGGACGCCTTTGGAATCAATGTGAAGAATGGTGGTTATATGTGGTTATAACCATCACTAATGGGATAGGATATAACGGAACATCATGGGATAATATGGGATATCACCAACAATAAAATGAAAGCACTCTCCGGCAAGCATTGCCATGGCTTTTCGTTTTTTTCTCATTTATGGATGAATATGGATATTTTTGTTGAAGCTCCCGCCAGCCGTGTTTGATCGGCGGGAAATTATCACCAGGATTTGACTGAAACTTTGGAATCAAAAAGCATAGACCCAAACTTCAGTTGCAAACCACAAACTTGGATTTGGACAATTTCTGCTTGGACATGGTTGCACACACGCGCTTGTTCACAGATTCCAGGTTTTTTTTGGCCATGTTTTTGGTGACACGGCATGATGGCGAACGCCCATTATTTGGTGGTTATATCCCCGGTGCTGATGTAGTTTTTTGGCTCAAACCAGCCATTCAAACCATAGTTGAACCAACTTAAAGATACTTAAACCAGCCATTCAAACCATAGTTGAAGCATGTTAAACCACGTGAATCCTCTCATTTTTCGACCTTCAAACATTCCAAAAATCTCCCCTTGCATGACTGGCAGGACGCCACCAAGGCTGAGTTGCACCTCCGAACGGATGAGCTGCGACAGCGGCTCTGTGCCGAGGCCAGGTGGATTGTTGGTGGATTTTGGGGAAAAAAGGGATGGCTAGAAATTCACCAAGTATGCTTGGTGGCTCATCCCACGAATCGTAAGTGGGTTATAACCCCAGTGATTTACATGGGATAAGTAGGGTTAATCCACTTATAATTGAGGGTGAACTAACCCACTTACGATTCGTGGGATGAGCCACCAACTATGGTGTTTGATAGAAATTTTTATCAACCCAGGTATAGATGGGTAGAATGGGCTTATTTTTTTGAGATGTGATCCTTCTGAAATTGTCAGTTGTTTGGAAGAACAGGTGTGTGTTTTTTTTAAACACAGCGTATTTCCAGGAGCAAAAATGGAGGAATTCATCAACGATTCTTTTCTCCAAGCGAAAATTGGGATTTCACAACCAGGCCAACAAAATGGTGGAGGTGACAAACACACGTGAGTCATTTACCAAGAAATATGTGTATCTTGGACCCCTTTTATTTCAAATGGGGATCTTTCCAACCAGAAACGGTGATGGACATAAATATGAAGGGGGGGGAATTTGACCCACAAACCAAAGAGGAGATAGGCAACAGTTTCGGAAAGGATAAATCAATCACCAACGGTAAAGTCTCAGAACATTTCTTGATGTTTTGATATGGTTGTTTTTTTCTCCATATTTTGTTCTCGATTTTTTCCAATTTTTCCCTAGCTTTTTCTTGAGTCCCCTTTTTTGGATGTTCCATGTGGACCCAAAAGCGTTGAGTCCAGGTCGAAAAGCAAGGCTCCGAGAACTTGGCGCAGCTGGAGGTGGGAGGAGCTGAGGAGCAGATCCAGGAATTCTTCGGCAGAGAATTCATGATTAGTTCGGCCTCACACATATTGGACACTTGGGAATTGACATACTATGACATACCAAAAATCACAATTACTTCCAACCAATGTAACTTTTGGTCCAAAAAGGGAAGCATGAAGCAATTCCTGTCATGGCCTCACATAGCGCCCATCACCTGAAACTAATTGGAAATTCTGTGGGAAGATTTGATGGGACATGTCACCAATATGTGTGAAATCATAATATGATATCTGTGTAACCAACCATATTGATATTCGCGTTTGTCCCGAAAGTCCCGACATGCGGCCAAAACCTCAAGTTGTGGCCGTTTTGATGGGGAAAGTGATGAAAGATGATGGGATTTCAAGGTGCCCATTTCGGGACAAACCGAAATGGTACGCAAGACCATTGGTTTCCAAAATTAAGACGAATCATCAACATCTTCCATTTTGAGGCTTTTTGAGTGTGGGTAGAACTGTATACCCACATAGATCCAACCAGTATATTTTCGTTTATTGTTGACAGGTTCACTTAAATAGACAAACCAAATCATAATCATATACATATATGATCCTATATGTACATATCCATATTAATGCTATATATATATATTATATAATTAATATTATATCATATGTATAGATACAGAGTTTAATGACAGCAAACCAGTTAAACCAGACGCGGAATCTCCAGGTCTTGCAGACCAGCAGATGGCTGGAGTCGCAGACGGAGGTCTTGGCCTCCCAGGCCACAGCTGGTCTGATTTTCAGGGATTGGTAAATGTCCCATTTTGGGTATATTGGACATCACCTTATAGTAGCCATTATAGACCATATACCTAATGGTTGGGTGATGTTCAATGGGGACATTTAATGACCCATGTTTTTTTTTGAGAAATTATACAATGTGGGGCCCCCCAGTGATGTTAGTTGGTTTAGATTCGCCCCAGTAACTATAGTTATAAGTACCATAAACCATAGTTATTGGAGTTATAAACCAACTTAGCTATCTTGGAGGCCTCACATTGTAGCATAATTGTAGGATCAATTTTGGGTCTGACACTTTGGTTTAGGTTGATCCTTTTCATTCAAAGTTTCTGTTTGTTTCTGAAATTACGAATCAATTCTCCGATGATGGAGGTCTGATGATTTTGGAAACCTCAAGAGCACTCATTTTGAGAGGTTGATAGTTTTGACCATGGGATTATGGATAATCAATAACTACTCCATCAAGCTCTCAGATGTCACAAGTTGGATTGTCGAAGTGACCATCACCTGTCCAAAAATATACGACACTTCTGCTGAAACAACAGTGGACTTTCATGCTGTCATGTACTTTACAAACCAGTAAACGATCTGGTTACCAGCTTGCTGGCTCTATCCAGCTATCGGTTAAGCCTTAGCAGAGCAAGACGTCCAGAAAAGCGCGAATCAACCAGCTGCAAGGGGCATCTGACAGAATCCGGCAAAACAAATTGAGCCTTCTGCACTGCGAAGGATGTGCGTAAGTGTGGATGATTTCCTCCAAGTAAGAACCGGGTGCCTTCCAACTACATCTTTTACGACACATTTTCCGTGTTCTTCCGTAGGGAGATGCTCATTGTGGAGGTTGGCTTCATCGCTTGATTTGTGCGCCTTTACCCTATGCGAACAATTGCAGTGAAGGATGCAACTGTGAATCCCTTCTCGTTTTCCGTGGAGAATGGCCGGCGAATGGCGCAGCATCCCGGCGCACAGCGGGTTGCCAAAGATCAACCTGCTCCTCACCAGTGACCCAGGAGGGGAATGGCCATGGCGCCATGGCTTTGGAGTATTTTGGAGCTATGGGTATTCCATGGTATCCTTGTTTTCCCTTGGAAAAATGGGGGAGCCAAGGACTTAAAAAAAAGAGTTTCTCAACCACATGATGGATCAATTTAGGGAATGGCCAGATTTTCTTGTGCAGAAATGATGGATTTGCAATGCTTTTCTTGTTTTCTTGTTTGTGGGGAGTTGTCAGTAGTTGTCAGATGTTGTGCGGATTTTCATATGTTTCTTAGAGACCAATAGCTACTCTCACAGATTTGTCCATGCTTCGCTCCAACTTGGGGATCTATCGGATAGGATGGCCCTGTGAGGAGAGATCGAAGATTTCCTCCAGGGCTGGGAAGGACGCTGCGTGGCGGGAAGGAAGCCAACATGTGTCCCTGGAAAATTCGACAGCTTTGTACATTTGTCATCATTTGTTTGGAATTAGGATAGAACTTCTTTACTGCATAGAGATGTGTGTGGTGAATTTCTCATGTGCAGCTGGCACTGAAGAGTTTTTGGAGGGTCTCGGTGCCGTGCTATGGAGGACGGTACCACTTTGGTTTGGACTTGGCTGCTTGGTATCAGAGATGCGAGCACAGACGCTGAATGCAACGCAACCTTGAAGTGGGTTCACCCAAGTTTGAGATGGATAATTTCGGCTAAGACTCAGACTCTTCGGGCCAGCAATTAGATGCGCTTTCTGTTTTCATGGGTTCAATGGGTTCAATCCTTTTTTTTTTAATGGGAAAAGACGCCTCGGCCAGATAAGAACAGATGTCAAGTCCCAGATTACCATGGTTCATCCAGTAAGGAAAATCATGGAAAATCAGCACCTGAGTCCCAATACGACTGGTCGCGGTGCATCAACATGTTCGAACGGATCATTCTGCAAAGTGGCTCGAAGCCCATCGAGAAGGAGCATTGTAAGGCAGCTGATCAACGGCGATGAGGGTGATGACCCGGAATTGGGTATGATAGGTATGATAGGTATGATAGGTATGGTAATTCGGTATGATAGGTATGATAGGTATGATAGGTATGATAGGTATGCTGCTGCATGATGATGATGATGATGATGATGATGATGATGATGATCTCCTGACAGCTCCATCAAGGAATGGAAGCCTGGATTCCAGAAGGGCGCACCGCCCAATCGCTCAGCTTTGTTGAGCGCCTTCGGCTGGCGAGTTTTGGCTGGGCGGAGCTGGGTATGCCCAGAAAATCATCCCCAAATAGCCCAACATTTCAGGTCAGCTGGGGTTGGGCCCGCTAAGGAAGATGGGAGGCCTTATTTCAGGTTATATAGTGAATTATTATAATTTACCGATACACACACACATATATATATATATACGTATATATGTATATAGATATACAGAGACAGAGGCTATATATATATACATATAATATAATATGATACAATACAATACAATATAATATAATGTAATATAATATGATATGATATAATAATACAATGTAATATAATATGATATAATATAATATAATGTAATGTAATGTAATATAATATAATGTAATATAATGAAATATAATGAACTATAATGTAATATAATGTAATATAATGTGATCTAATATGATATAATATGATATAATATACAATATACATATAGCTATATGATATGATACAATATAATGTAATATACAACATTATAATATACAATACATGTGCTATATGGGTAAAACCAACAGGGAAAGCAAGGTGCCATGCTTTGAAACCACTGGGATGCAACATGACAGTAGCACTGGACGAGGCATCTGCAATGGGCCTTGGGTCCTGGCCATTGATTTGCTTCCGTGGAGAAAGAAGGCCAGAGCCATTGGGTATGGCTCTGGCCATTGGATACCTGGAGATTACCCTCTGGTAATTTAACATAACTATGGCAAATCACCATGTTTAATGGGAAAATTCACTATAAATGGCCATGTTCAATAGCTATGTTAAATTACCAGAGATTACCTCTAAATGTTGGGCCAAAAATCTGGGGGGGTCTGAAATGTTGACCTTTTGAGGCATGGGATTGGGCAGTTCTGGGATGCTTTGGGTCATGATAGCAAAACTGAGGCATGTTCGGAGGCATGGGATGCACCAAAACTTAGTAGTCTAACTTCGGAATGGAATCAAAAGCCTTGGTAAATCTTGGTGACACATTTTCCAATTGAGCGTCCCTTAGTTAAAAATGCCCCCTTCATAGTTGAAACATGTTGAAACACTGACCCAGAAATGCAGAAACGGCACATCCCTTCACCAAAAAGGCACCGGAGCCTCTTTGCGACGTCTTGTGGAACTTCTTGGAGCGCCTGGGTGAAATGGCGGATTGAGAAGTCGACCATATCCTTCGGTTCCATTGCATATATTGCATGTTTTTTTTTTCCAGCAGATTTGTTGCGGTGTAAATGGTGCTGGCAATTGGCACAGATGTTTGCTGGAAGAGCGAAATCCATGGGTTTAAGCGAGTAGTTTACTGCAGTGTTGTTTCAGACCCAAGTTTGGCGTGAATCGGTTTGCTTGTTGCACATCTTTTATAGCACCTGGAGTCCCTCAGTTGGAACTTTCTCGATTGAGAGGCTCCTGGAGTTTATGATGCGGTTGGAGGAGTTGGCCTATGCGATACACCCAAAAGCGGAGAATTCTCAACATGTCGATTTTTAAAGTACCCTCTGGTAAACTAACATAGCTATTGAACATGGCCATAGAAATAGTGGATTTTCCCATTAAAAATGGTGATTTTCCATAGCTATGTTAAATTACCAGAGGGTATGGTTTCTGATACCCCTGAAATGCTTTACGATTCAGCAACCAGGCGATTATTTAGAACATACCACATCTTCCCAGCGCCCGAGGAACGAAGAACACACCTTTTACGGCATGGGTTTGGCAGGTGATTTGGCTCGCACCTGGGCAATACGGCGAGAGTTTTGTTAGTCCAAGTCACCAAACTGTTCTTTCGCAGTGTTGGCGAAAGAACAACATCGAATCTGTATGTAGAAAGATATGACCACTGACACAATTTTTTTTTTATGCATGTATATCATTGATTATCATTGTATATCTCTATACTATTCAATGAACTCACTCTTACCACAAGTACCAAAGTCCAAAGATCCTCAACCCTTTGGCCACTTCCGACTGGACCATGGGCTTGCCCAGGTTTGGCCTTTGAATTTGACTGCGTCTGCGACGGTGTAGACTTCACCCTACGGGCCTGGAAGCATTTGGAACCCTTGAAGGGTGGCCTCACAGGTGGAAGGGACTGGTTGGTAGGTGGAAGTTTACCATCATCCAATGACTTTGCCAGAGATATGGGATGATATGGGATTTAGACATATTATGATACATAATTAGACCATCCAAAATTTTAGGTCGATGGTTTGGGAGTTCGTGGATCCCTCCAGCGGTATGACAAGTGAAAGTTTTATGGTTGGCCACCTCCGGCTCGATCGAAAATATTGGCCCATGGCTCAAACTGGCCCAAAAACGGATACTTTAGTAATCTTTAGTGATTAGGACTAGAAATGACAAATTGTGTGAGTCCATTGGTACCCCAATTTTGAGCTTTTTCAGGAAACGCCTCCGTGGTCTCCCGGTAGGCTTGGCGAATCGGGTGCTTGGGACCTCTGTGGAACAAAGCAAGTCCGTGACGAGGCCGGTTCCCGGGTCGTCCTTTCAGGGGATGGGGTCCATTTTTCGACCTCATTTCAGTTACCCTCTGGTAATTTAACATAGCTATTGAACATGATGATTTATAGTGGATTTACCCATTAAAAATGGTGATTTTCCATAGTTATGTTAGTTTACCAGAGGGTACGTTGGGATAGTTGGGTGAATTTCGATGTTTCAGCCATGGTTCAGTGATAAGATTGGTGCAACTGCCATTGACAAGCGGGGAAGTGATCATTTCAAAGGGCTCCGCATGGATTGACGTGAAAAAGATGGAAGAGGAGGAATTGTTCTGGGGAGAATAGATTAGTGGTTAGGTAGTTGTGATTTTATGTTGGCGTTCCCTCTTTTGTATGCAGTTGCAGGTTCTGGTGAAGATTTGGTGGAACCTAGGACCTATACTCAGTCTTTACATTTTTTATCTCAGCTATCTCAGTCTTCTAGCTTTCATAAGAGTTTTCTTGCTGCTCGTCTTGGGATTTCTTGCGAGTCTTCCATCAGGAGTGTTTGTGGACATCTATTTGCCATCTGACAGCGATGAAGCTCCCAGGTTGCTAAGTCTTGAATTCACCAACCAGAATTTTATCTTCAATTCTCCAGTTCCCCCATTTTTTGTTGACACCCAACTAGTTCGGTCCAAATCTGAGATCGCATGGTCTCTATCGTTTGTTTGGTGGTTTCAAATATTCTATTTTTTTTCCTGATGATTCTGACTGGCTATCATTTAATCATGATTTTTTCATGCGCGTGAAGAAGGCATAGTCTGTCTATTGTATTTTTTTAAACGTGTATTTTTCACTTGGCTTGAAACCACACAATTTAGTTGTCGACTTACTTCTCGGTAATTCGGATGGACGAGAAGCCGATTCAGGTCCAATTGGGAGATGCGGCCGCTTTCGGAGAAACAGGCGGCCGCTTGAGGATGCACCTGAAAGCAGGGCTACCGAAGTACTGTTTTCATTGACCAATACTGTTGGTTGGAAAACAGCTAGGAATCGTTGACTTTATCATTTGCTCTATCATACTTGATCTACCTGTTTTCCGTTTCCGTGAATTTTCCGCGAATTTCCTATGGTTTCCCCTGTCAGATCGGTGCATCAAATCCCCGATAGCGGGCGAGGTGTTGTACCTGGCAGAAGATGCCTACCTGTCGTGGAAGCTGGCCTCGAAGATGCTGACCCAGTGTGAGGACGAGGCAAGCTGCAGCTGCGGTGCTGATTAAAATCAGCGATTCTCACCATGGGTTTCCATAAATGGGGGATCCCAAGATGCGTTAGAATGGAAAATCCTATTAAAATGGATGATTTAGGGGTACGCCACATTTTAGGAAACCTCCATTTCAATATCTCGGTTTCAAAACTCATTGAATTTCCCATCAAGCAAACATGGTCAAAGCTATTTATAAACATCCCGTCATAGGCCATCAAAGCTGGGAATGAAAATGTATGGTCTGGATAGGATAGACCTCCATGGGAGGCCATGAGAACATGGATGGAGAATATAGAGAAAACATGAGAATACATTAGATTATATTAGTAGTGTATAATAGTCTATACTAAAGTCTATAATAGTCTATACTAGATGGATAGATTAATGTCTATGATAGTAGTCATCGCAAGGAACCAAAATATCTGGAGACCGGGTCCCCTTCGGCCAACAATCGGTGACCATGGTGACCTATTTCGAGTGGCTCATTTACCCTCTGGTAATTTAACATAGCTATTGAAAATGGTGATTTATAGTGGATTTACCCATTGAAAATGGTGATTTTCCATAGCTATGTTAGTTTACCAGAGAGTACATGAGTTCTACAAGCTGGTGAGAACAGAAGGCTTCTCAGATTTGCCGCGATTTTTTTTTTCAACAAAAACACGAACAGCGGACTTCGCTTGGGAAGTCCAAGCAGTTGAATTTCCCCAAAAAAAGTCAGCAGAAACCTCCGCGGGCACCCCACATCGGCACGTTGCTTTAGGCACTCCAGCACTCCATTTCGGTTTCCAAAGTCATGGGGGGGGTAGCCGCAGTCGCCCCAGTCCTCATCCATTTCAATAGGATTTTCCATGAAATAAACCATCCATGGTGCCAGATGCAGCCGGAGTGGCTGGTCTCCTTGGCCGAGATGTACGGCAATGGCCACTTGGATCATGGGGAGTGGTTCCAGGGTTTCCTGCGAAAAAAACCGTTGATCAATGGGGGTGGAGAGCAATTTTACTAGCAATTTTACTAGCAATCTATGACTATTTTGGGGGTAACACGCACAAGTCAATTAACCCGAAGTTGACATTACGTGCCTGTGCTCGTGTAGTGACTTCCCTCTCTGGAAGCCGAGGGCAAGTGCTCATGCGCCACAAGATCTTTGTTGCTAATGCTGTCCATGATTGGACCTCAGCACATGATGAATGGCTGCAGAAGCAGGCTGGGGCACCTAGGATGTTTTTGGTTTCTGGTTTCTGACAGGTCAAAAACAACCTGTTTCATGTGTCAGATGGTGGGCCTCATGGATATATCATGGATATTTTTTCGGAGGTTCTTCGAGATTTCTGGTGAAAAGATAGAACAGATTGTTCGGATGGGAGCCAGGAATTGTTCTCAGAATCTGACATCAAGTTGTTGCAGTGATGGGGAGAGAGATCTCTGAGTAGGAGTTGCTCCTGGTCTCATGGTTCAACACTAGGACGGTACTAGTTTGACTAATACACCAACCAAACAAGATGGGTTTGTCTGAAAATTCTGGCAGAAGCCTTAAATCCCAAGCTTAATCATCATAGTCTGCCATTTAATGCATAAAAAGTAATGGATATCTCCCATTTTCAGAACAGAGGTTTGATTGGTGCTGGCCACCCCCAGGAGGAAAAGAAGAACAGAAAGGACCTCGGGGGATTGCCTGCACTTTTCTGCTGGGATGGGGCTGAAGATCAGTCCATTGCCACGACACTGGCGAACGCAGTTCGGAAATGCTGTGCCTGGGTTTACCAGCGAAGAGAAACTCAAGATTGAACCATGGTTTGAGCCACCAATACATATATATATATACAGTATATAATTATATATATATACAGTATATAACTATATAATGTATATATAATTATGTATATATATAATTATATATATATAGAATCTTTCCTAATAGCTGTAACAGTCAGTTAATCGATTTCATTCTATTTTAGACAAGCTTTGTTTTGAGTGCTTTCCTTCGTGCAAAAAATCGTGCTTTTTGGTTCTCTCCTTCGTGCAAAAAATCGTGGTCTAGATAGTGCTTTTTGGTGCTCTCCTTCGTGCAAATTCAATATGTATATATATATGAATATATATATATATATGAATTATATATAATAATATAGTTGTTGGGATGGGTGACTCAACCACCAACCTTTGTGCCCTTCACGTCAGAATGGACTTGCCAGGATAAGCGGAAGCTCCCTGATGCCGAGCTTTGGTGACCAGCATGCCTACAGCTGGAAAATGGATGAACTTCGCTGATTTGCTCATCCATTTTGCCTGTAGAACATGTTCGGAAACGTCTGGGTTAAAATCGGAAAAAAAAACCCACGGTCAAAAGCTGAGGCTTTTTCTCATGGTTTCTCAGGTTGCCATGTTTGATCTTTGCAGGTGCAGCATGCAGTGCAACTGGAAGTGAAGTTTGGGAGCCTCAGAGACGACGGAACGACGTGACCGACGGAACGGGGAGGGTGGTTTGGGCAACCAGTGGGGCAATTTTGGTTGTATGATGTTGTATGTGCTTTTCAAATTCAAAGTCACTGTGAACTCACCAGGAAACCACTTTGACTGTTGACCCCTGACCTAAGAAAAAACCATTGAGCTTGGCCTGTTCCAAGGCGGTACCATGCCTGTTGCCAGCTGCTCACTGACTTCTACTACTCTGCGCTCTGTCTCGGCCTACCAGAGGAGAGCCCGGGTCATCCCGGGTCAACTTCAGAAGATCGTGCATCAAGTGCCAAGAGCTGCCTGGGGAACCACAAAACTGCTCCGAAATGAAGCTTTTCCAGCTATTTATGCATATTTATGATTATTTATGTATCCCCCCACGCTTGAATATCGTACGTTTGCAAAGAACGAATTCGATCTTCCTCCTCATTTTACACTCATTCAGGCGCCTTATTTCTTTCAAGACAAGGATGCAATCTCTTCTTTAAAGGTTTCGGTTTCTCTGTCAGGAGCATGAGCCCCCACCGAAGGTGGACGTCTTTGCGCCACAGGCAGGGCGATCCGTTGGGTTTTTTCGGGGCCCCCTGGGGCCCCTCTGGGGTTATCCCTGAGGAGCTGGAAGAAGCTGCAGATGCCAAGGACAAGAAAAAGGCCGATGGAAAGGGCTTCACTTCACGGCCAACTGAAGGGCTTGGTTCTGATGTCATCTTCCTTTTCGGTCGAAGTTTTTGCAGAATGTGCTCGTGAGACGAACGTGGTTTTTGCGGAGGTCAAGAGGTACTTCAGTTTCTCAGCCTTTTTGGAGCTTTTTGATGGTCCAACGGTCTAAAACTGTCCTGATGGCACTGCGGCACCGTTGGCCAGAAAGACGACAAAAAGAAAAAGGATCCGAAGGCCGAGGAGGCGAAGACAGGGTCGAAACCGCTCCAACCGGGGGACGATTAACCACCATTAACCAACGCCAAACAAAGGGATGTTGATGGATGGCAGGCAACACATTGGGATATCAACCAAAAAGGGACAACCTCTGGCTGGTTGGTGGTTTCAAATGTTGAACCCAGCCAAGTCAGGGTGGGCACAACTGGGAAGACGCACGCTGGGAGTTGTTGACGCTGAAGAGATTTGCATATTGTGGTAAATGTAATATGGTGTAACTGGATGTAATACATCACCTTTCTTCACCTTTTCTCAGCGTTTTACATCACCATCATATCTTTGACAAAACCATATTTCCATCTTTTTTGATGGTGATGTAATGTAATATGATCATATGTGATAATATGATGTAATGCTATTCTTTCACTGCCGAGATGAATAATAGGTTTGTCCAAAAAGTGGGGGCACATATGCTCAAACATTGTTATTTGAATGGAGAACATGAGAATAAAATATGATAGACCATTGGATCCATTGGATTTTGTTACCAGATTCTTGAACAAAACCATGTCAGATCAGCACAAAAGCGCTGCTAAACAGTTCAGCTACTGTAGTTGCGTGCAGACTCCCAGTCAAAAGCTCGTTGCGGGATCGGAGAATGATCACTTTTCCACAGGGAAAACTGGGTAAAAAATCATCGGTAACTGCTAGGTCCTAGAGAAGAGAGATGGGCAAATCAGCCTCAGAAATCCCTGTGGTTTCCGTTGCCATTGACTCCAGGAGCCAGAGATCAGCCCGGAAGAGAAGGTCTGTGATCTCCAGAGACAGAATGCTATAGATGGCCCATGGATAGTTCGATGATTTATAGATGATGTATAGATGATTTTCATATTTAGACTGGTGATGATTTACCTAATTTACTTATTTAGAATGGGGATTTTTCCGTAGCCACGCGAAATTAGCGAGGAACACCATGAGCTAAATGGATCCATTGTAAGGGAAGCCATTGGCTAAACGGATCCATCGAACATTCGTATTACAATTATAATTTGATATATGATATTATGATAATTTGCCCGACCCATGATCTTTCAAGGTGTTTTCTTATTAAGGGCCCAGAGCAACTTGGCTTCTGCTTGTATAGCAGGCACACCTGGTATCGGATTCGTCCTGGTGCTATTTCGATCCATTTTTTGATGCTCAATGTTTTCCCATGATCAAGTGACATATGGGTATGGGTCAATACCTATAGATACATTTTAGTGGGATGAACATCCATTTACCAGCTATTTTGGGGTTCACTAGGTACCAGGGTTTTGACCCATCCCCATATGTTGATCCTCTGGGGGGAATTTTCCCATGACAAGTTGGATGGGGATCTCTATTCCTGTGAGGCGGCAGCGAGGCTCTGCAAATTCATCCCTGACGAAGAGCAGCTGGGGTCCCGCCGGAAAGTTGAGGTGACCGATACGGGTAGCAACGAGGTTCCCAAAGATGCATGGGGGAATGAACATCCGGCTCTCCCATCCAAGAGAACCTAAATTATGTATATATATATATATCTATATCTATCTATATATCTATCTATACATCTATCTATGTATCTATATCTATATCTATATCATTCTATATCTATATCTATATCTAAGTCTATATCTATATCTATATCTGTATATATATATATATATTTATTCCCGTATATAATGGGAATATCATGTGGAATATCTTGGGATAGATCCAATATATTTGATGTGAAAGCCAAGCTACAGGGGTTGTTGGATCCATAGCTATCTTCATCGTTGAAGGAGGCTGGACGATTTCCCTCGAGAACTTGCACTTCCCATGATTTCCCAATGTTTTTCCAGGCGTTTCAAGGGCAGTTTTCCCAGCTGTCCTGGTATTCCCACTTTTTTTGGTGAGTTGAACATCACTTAAAATGGAGAATGAATCGTGGTTCAATTTTTTGTTCAAAAAAGTCTTGAAAACACACATCATTTGCATCATGTATATCATGTGAAGACGAAATGCGGGTTAGTCTGAACATAGGGGAACTCCCAATAAAAACCATATTGTTGGTTCTTGATCTCTCCCATGATATTCCCATCTGGGGATCCAGGAAATTTCCACCACCTTCCAAGGCCCAGTGGTGAAGGGCGTTGGGAGTTCCCCTTCCTCGCGGACCGAAGGGGAGGGAGTTTGGACCTTTGGAGCAGGCCAAGAGAGGTAGCGATGGGACAATTACCCCTATGATTGGAGGTCTTAATCTTGATCTGTTTGCGCAATTCTTCACCTTACTTGGGAAAAACGATGAAAAAAAACCGTCACTGTCATTCCCCTCGGGTCATCAAACATGGCTTGCCGGACATTTCCCCATTTAGGTCAATGATTTTCCCACATAGAAACCTCCATGGCTAGGCCGGGAAAATGTTCAATCGCCGGCTGCGAAAGGAACTTATGGAGCAGGCGGTGAAAGCTGTGTGGAAGTCGGAGCCCTTAGGAAACCAAACCCCTTGGGACCCTGGAGGGGTGCACACCTGGACACTATAAAATGGTTTTGAATTCAAAAAAACGTCTTTGATCATTTTCAGACAACGACTTCACAAACAAAGTGGTGATTGATGGTGATTGAATATCCAAAGAAATTCGGCCTTTTTTAAACCAAGATGACCATTGTTTGTGGCTTTCCAGGTCTTGAATTTGAGTGAAATCGAACCATCCTGTCCCCATTTTTTCGCTTTGATGCCACATGTCCATATTGGCCTAATATCTATGGCAACCTATGGATCATTATAGATCATATTCCGATCCTTTTTCCCCTCACCATGGATCAGTTGCCGCTACCAAGGTTAGAAGACTTTGTGCCGCCCTCCATCGAGGTCTGGTTTCTGGCGATAGATGGAGCTTTCCATAGTCGTGGGGCCCAAAAATGGATGGCCAGGTGCCAGAGGAGGAAGAAAAGGAAGATCCCAAGGCCAAAGCCAAGGCCGCGGTCGTTTTGAAGCGATTTGCCAGGTTGAAATCAACCCCCAAACGTTGATAAACGTTGATAAACGTTGGAAATATAGGGGGTTGAAGCTGCAGAACTTGGGGTTGGAACGGCCCGAAATTTTTCCCCCCTGGCAACAGCCGAATGGCTAAATCGTTTCCGCCGATTCACGGGATGATCCCAATGGCGATGGGTAAAGGCCCTGTTTTTGGTAGGCGAAGGGAAAGGCGAAACCCAAGGACAAGGCCAAAAAGGAAGAGGAGGCCGGTGATTTTTGGGCCCTAAAATGTGTCAAGTACCTGGCACATGTGGCCGAAAAGCCATGGGCATTTAATGAAACAATCATGGAGAATTAGAATTAGGACAAGCGTGAAGGGGCAGAAGGCTGCTGAACTCTCCATATCAATTTGGTATTGGCAACAGGTTGGTCAAATGTTTGGTTGGCCAAATAAGCCCTTCCCCATGATATCAAACGCTCCGCAGAAACATCCCCATTGAAATTTCCAAGATTGTAAGGGGTCACTCAAGTGACCCCCATTTTCTAGATAGAAACTTCCCGCCCAGTCAATTTCCCTACATTTCCTGGGGAAAGTCGAAAAGGTCCATCATGATTTTATATGTAAATGTATCTGACCATTTTCTAGAGAGATAAGGATAGATAAGGGCTGAAAAAAAAACAATCGAACTCTTGTCCGAATGCTTCCTGGGTCATTCCTGGGGAATGCAGAAACCATGGTTTAGTAAGAGATTTATATAATATTATATAATAACATATTTGATTGTCACTTCTCATCTGGAACAGGGGTGCTTCCCCAAATGTCCCAGAATTGGTTGACAAGATTTCTTTAGGACACCAATATGGATAAAGATTCATTATGGTTAAAGATTCATTATGGTTTCCAGTTAACATTGATTGAACATGGGTTGAATACCACACATCCCCTGGCACTGGTGTTGCCCCTTAATATCACTTAGCCCTAACCCCCAAAACAGCTCCCGGTCATGTGGTCAAGGGTTTGTCTGAAAAATAGGGTCATCACGAAATTTGATCGTTCATCACCATTTCCATTTCCCCATGAAAAACTGGCCAAGAAACGGTGGTGTTTATTCCATTCCGGCACATCCACATACCCTCTGGTAAACGTTTACATTTTGCTATGGAAAGATCCACCATTTTCAATGGGTAAATCCACTATTTCGACTGGGCCATTTTCAATAGCTATGTTAGTCATTACCAGAGGGTATATCATATTGTTAGCTATGCATCTTATGATATCCCCATCCCAAAAAAGGGTGATTTCCCTCATCTGCGGCCTCCCGGGACCAGCTGGGACCAGCTGGGGCCCGAGGTCGAGAAGCCACCTCCGCAACCAGCACCAGCGCTGTTCGTGGACCTACAACAGGCCACTCTTCATCCCAGCTTTCCAAAGCAGGAGCCGGATTTTTTGACCAAGAAGTGTATGTTGAAAGTTTGTTTAACCATGGATTACTGTAGATGTTCCCTGAAACCAAATCCATTGATGATTGTTTCATAGAAAATGTTGCTGTTTCAACTGTTGTAATCCCTGTCGCCTCTTTCTCTTTCTCTGCGAATTTCCTGAGTTGTAGGCTGGATGAGCTAGTTTAGGAGGCTGTGCCACCAACTCTGTCCAACGGGAACTGGTCATCCCAATTGAGTGCTTGCCAAGCGTTTGATTCCACACTCAGGGAGGGTTATGTCATGTCACCGCACTTTTCCTTTCCATGCACTTCGGGTTGTGTCGACACGAGCCAGTGATCCGAAAAGACTTGCTGCCAGTTGATCATTATGCCAATCAATCACAATCATGCATCGTGGTCAGCATTCTCCCGTACGTATCCATAAGTTTGCAAGTGTTCATAAGTGGTTTGGAGCCAAACTCTGTAAGTTACTAAGTCATACTAAGTCCAAAAATCACGATTCTCACTCTAGAATGGCTCATGTTTGTGTTTATTAAGTTATTCTTCATCAGCCACTTGTTGAAAGAAAGTCCCCAGGTTCCCATGCTGGTTAAAATCACCACATTTACTGGTTAAATCACCAATTCTGCTTGGATCCCCAATTTTGATGCTAGAATCACCCTGCTTGATACTCAAATCACAGCTTTTCATGGACTTGTCCTCACCATTTTCGATATGTTTGGTTCCTCACTTCATCTCAGTCAGAAAAAGTCACCCGCCATTTTTCGTGACAGGCGCTCCTGGCTGAGCGTGTGACCTTCCGTCAACGGCTGCAGATGATCCATCGCTGGGCCATCAGGCGGTTGCATCAGGCACAGCTGGGGCTGATGGTGTGTTATTCACAAAAAGCCAAGGCGGTTGTAAAACCGGAGGACGTAACCATCAGAAATAGGGATTCACTATGGTTTCAGCGTCAGAATCGGGATATGGAAGATTCAACCAACATTCATTGGGGTTATAAAACGAATCATGAATACTATACCGGTGATATTGTGGGATCTTTAACCAACATAAACGATCATGGGATATTTGGGTATCGGAGAATAGGGGAGATCCCACAAACAAAGCCGTTTTAATGGGGAAAATGATTGGATATGATTGGTTTTGCCATCACATTTGCGTGTAGCCTTTTGTTTGAAAGACAAATCCATGTTGGGTGGGAAAATCATGATAGATTTCTGTAGTCTTTCATTTTGACACAGCTTTCCGGATGCCTAGTGGGACAGATTTGGGGGTTTCAGAGGTGTGCGGTTTCTGAACACAGCAGAATCGAGATCTGGTCCGTGACTTTTTGTTTCCAGGGAGTTCTATGAACGAAACAGTTACACAAGTCTGTGATTCCAGGGGTTTTTCAAGTTTTCACTGGTACCCGATCCCTGACTCAAAATGATGGTGACACATCTCAGAATGATGGTCCCGATGGACACATCTCATGGTCTGTCCGAAAATGGTGGATAGCCATCCAACAGCTATTTCGATGAGGAAACGAGAACATTACCCTCTGGTAATTTAACATAGCTATTGAAAATGGCCATTTATAGTCGATTTTCCCATTAAAAATGGTGATTTTCCATTGCTATGTTAGTTAACCAGAGGGTAACTTCGTGGATTTCGTTGTTTTCCCATGATTTTTTCAGACGAAGCTAATATCAGTACCCAACTCATCCAACGAACCGCAAAGCTGGACCATTGGAAGTGGAAAACTGGACCATCCAATTATCCTATATATATATTATATATATATTATATATTATATATATTATATATATATTATATATATAATATATATATTATATATATTATATATATATTATATATATTATATATATACATTATATATACATTATATATACATATATTATATATTATATATATATATATATTATATATATAATATATATATATATATGTATATATATAATATATCCCACTATATTCCAGGATTCCAAGTCCCCATAATTTTGTTGGAATGGAGAAGCCCTACTCGAAATGGTGGAACTTGTAGCTGCCGTTGGGATTGTGTCGACTGAGGCGGCCAGTTCAACCAGGACCACCTTCCAGAGCCTCAATGATTGGGTCATGCTGCGGCGGCATGGGCTACCCAGTCCCAGGCTACCCAGGATGAGGATCCATGGGAGGATCTGATGATTTTTTTGAGAACACTTAAATGGGTATGGATCAATACCTATTAATACCATTTTTAGTGGGATGAACATCCATAAATCCCAGCTATTTTGGGGTTCACCAGGGGTACAAGGTTTTGACACACTGCCAAATGAAGTGAAATGACCGCTAATTTCCTAGCTTGGGGCTTGAACTTGGACCCAATGATGGATGAAGGATGATGATGGTCCAATGGTGATGACACCGCGACCGAGGCACAAGGATCTGGAATCCGTGGCCTGTTTGGTGGATGCGATCAAGGACCTGCCCAGGGGCTGAGCAGTCCATTTCTGACACTGATAGTGACACCTTGAACATATGACTAGCAGGAAATCGGTCAGAAAGGCACACCTCACAGACTCGTTAGTCGGCAAGGTCAGGATGCCTGTGAGACATGAACATGACTTGGCTCCCTGTCTTCTTGAAAAATGAATTGGGTGCTTCCAAGCATTGGAGACCCCAAATCCATCATTTTATGTTCTGGTGAGTCCTATTCTACTCCAGAAAATCAAAGCTTGGTGTCTCGTCAATCTTGAACAAATCAATGAAAAATACTTCCCTCGCTTTATTGCGATTCAAAGCATTGAGCAGTTGCAAAGGAACAAGTGGAGAACGAGGAATTCATCAAGGTGCAAGCGTAGCAAACTAGAAGCAACGCAGCTACCCACCACATCATTGTCATTGCCGTCGTCGCCGTCGTCGTCCTCCTCCTTCTTCTTCCTCACCATCATCGTCATTCTCTCCCTCATCCTTCAGTGTCACAGGGTCTTTCAATCTGCTCATATTTTATCATATTTTGCTCTATTGTGCCCCTCTCATGAAACAAAAGCCATGTTCGAAGTATTCACCGCAGGGCCTTTTCCGATTTCCTGAAACCATCGTTGCCCCCTGACAGACGAAGCTATGCCTGAACAACGCGCACCTTCATCAGAGGTGCGCTTGCCGGTGCACCTCAGAGCGGCTGTTATATCGGTTTGTCCAAAAACCGCGGATGCATCCCAAAATGGCCATTTCAATTGCGAAAACGATTTCATGATCAACCATGGGGCCATGGGATGGAAATGGATGGCATGTGTTTTTTTCCTCCACGTGTTTGGCCGTTGGAGAAACCCACCATGGAACCGACAGAACCGACAGCGTCTGTCTGCCAGGCCCAATACCTTGTTACGGGCTCCGATTCCACCAAAGGTGCCACCTCCCGTGGAGGCGGGAAGCAACCCGTGGACGGAAAAGAAGCCATGTATATGTGAAATCAGATGTGAATATGACAATCACATATATACATATATAATGTGTATATATATATATATATTTATCATTATATGTATTACACATATATATATATGAATGTATAATTATTTATTTATTTATTTATGAGATTATCTATGAACAATACGTTTGTGTAGATATTGAGTCATAGCAAAAACCAATATGTATACACCTTGACTTGCGCCATTGGCAGGGCATAGCACCGTTCCGCTGGACAATGGAGCAGCTTGAAAACTTGCTGGAGGCTCTGTCTGGTTTGACATGTAAAGCACCAAAGATCAGCAAGGCACAAAGCAAAATACCAAGGCCTATCCAAAAAATTATTAGACATCAGCAATCATATTCCTGTGACTCTTTTATCCTTTCATCCGTGATGATATGATTGTTCTTGGATTCAAAAACGTCTCAACCACACTTCATCCTCGAAGTGAGACCTCCATCAATTAGTGATACCTTTGAAGATCCTGAACGCGCCAAACAATGCCTGTATTTGTTCAGGTCATTGAAGTACGCCGTACGTGCATATCATAGAAAAAGGTACCACATGTATTGATTGAAAAATCATGAAAAATCCATCCATTTTGTAGGATGCTCGGTAGGTTGATTTCAGACCTCAAGTTCCAGCACAGTCACATCCGACTATATACATGCAGATTCACGTAATACTGCCCGCCCGCTTTCGTTTGGACTGTTAGAACTCCGTTCAGCAATGCCTCAATCCTTTGTCGGTTGATAGTGTCACAGCCCATCATGGGAGCTACCCTCAGGTGATCCATTTCGTTCGGAGCTTTCCCAGCCATGGTTGAAACCAGTGGTGCCATTGCGGGGTGCCAGGTGGTGAACAATGCAGCTTCTGCCATCTCACCGACTTGCAGGACGCCTTGAGAATTGACAGGATGCTAATAACCTCTATGTAGAGCTGAATCATTTGTGTACGTATAGATTCATGGTGATTCATGCATAGAACAACATATATATATATATAGCTAGTGTATACATATATAACAACTATATACATACAAATGACAGATAGAGTAGAGATAGATATTTTGCACCAGGATGTTACCCAACTACACCATGTTGGGCATCTTGCAGCAACTGACTTCCGTGGGCGCTCCTAGAGTGGTGCACGGTGAGATTGGGAAACTCCATGCATGGGTTGTTCTATTGCTGGTATGCTCCAGTAAACTGACATATCTATCAAAAATGGACCATTGAAAAATGGTGATTTCCATAGCCATGTGAGTTTACTGAAGGGTGGTCTCCCACACAATTTTTCTCCCGGTTTCCTTAGGCAGATGGCAGCGACAAGCGCACGGTCAAAGTGCCAGCGAATTGGCGCGGGGGGTTCGGAATATCTGATGGGCACATCCAAGTCCGCAAGATATCTGAATATATCTGGTAAATGGTGTTTTAATGGTGTTTTAATGGTGTTTTAATGGGATTCAATGGTGATTCAATAGCATTTAATGGGATTTAATGGGATATATGATGATATACCCCCTGGTAATGACTAACATAGCTATTGAACATGGCCCAGTCGAAATAGTGGGAATTTACCCATTGGTGATTTTCCATAGCTATGTTAAACTACCAGAGGGTATCTGGTGGGTGGTTTCAACATGTTTCAACTGCCCTTTTTTTGTTTTCAAACCTTGGGCTTATGATCCCGACTTGCGACGATTTGCTTGATCCCGACTCGCGACGATGTTTTGGACCGCTTGAAACCGCCAAGTGAAGAAATAGACCAATGGATTTTTACGGGATCGAAGGGATAAACACAGCCTCCGGTGAAACATGGCTGGAACATCTCCTATTTATATCCATTTATTAAATATATGTATGTCAGTATACAATATATATATATATATCTATATGTATATATAGATATATCTATATATCTATATATATATATAATATATATATATATTATTTACATCGTTGAGGTTCCAAGCTGTCAACCTCCGAGCCATCTTTGGTCCATGGGAGGCGCAACTCGGGAGAAGCCAAGCTCAAGCAGCTGCAGGGAGACTTAGCAGCGGGTGCAGGAATTAACTGTTCGACCTCACTGTTCTCCCTCACTGTTCTCACTGGAAGTTTTGCTTCGTAAGGGATGACTATGGATAACTAATGATAACTATCCCAAAAAATTCCCAACCTTTCAGATGAGTCAAACATCTTCTGATTCATCCAGAGGGTGAACTTTGACCAACCAATGGACCAAGGTTGGCATCCTTTGAGCATGTCTACTCTTCCAGCAGCACCCTGGCTGGCAAAGGTGGCTGAATGGCTATGGCATGGATGGTTTCTGCCAGCTGGTTGCCAGCTTCGCCCAAGGCATCGATATCGTTGACTTCTTGCTGCATATGTGCCTTTTGCACAGTCCATCGGGGTTCCGACCTCAGAACCTGGTCGCACCTGTTGTTTGGGCATATTTTGGAAATTATGGCGACCTGGAAAACAGCACAAATGGTTTTCATTGGGGGGATTCATCAACGCCATCAACGGAAATTGGGGATCGTACCCATTGCAGGCAAGTTGGACATGGCATATGATTCTGTATGTAGCACCCAGCGTTTTTTTGGGCATGGTGATAATTTTGGGGGTTGTACCCACCGAAAAATCCGAGAAACATAGCGATCGTTTCCATGATCTAAGCAACATTAAGCAACAATTGCCAGTGTAAACAGGCCATTGTTCATCATCAGTTGAGGATTTGACCACCATTTAGCCACCGTTTTACAGCAGCCCAAGAGGGCCGGGCCATTCAGGTGGCCCCCGGTGAATACTTTGATGGAGGTTCGCCAGGTGCTTGAAGCTCAGGCGGGAAAGGACTGGGATGAGAAATCATGATCTAATGGGAGGGTTAACCACTATCAATGGTGATTTAATGGAGATTTAACCACTATAAATACTATAAATGGGACTGGTTGGTGGTTTGGAACATGGCTGGATTATGACTTTCCATTCAGTTGGGAATGTCATCATCCCAACTGACGAACTCCATCATCTTTCAGAGGGGTTGGTCAACCACCAACCCGTCGGAATTGTTCAGGATGCAACTCTCAAAATCGGGGATGAAAAAACCATCATAAATAGCCAGGGGGCTGTAAAACTACCCATGAATGCTGGCGATATTTTATAGGATAGCCAACATGAACCAACAATGTGATACTATTGGGGTGTCTGAAGATGAGAGATACCCTACATATATATATAATTGCAATTCTAATATGGGAAATGATGGTAAGAGATTCTGTTTTTGGAGTTCTAAGAGGCTTTCAGCCCTCTCAACTCCGAGATGAAGCAATAGAAATAGCAGATTGAACTAGATGGGGGATATGAATGATATGAACCAATAATAACCAATACGCACAGAACAGTGCAAAAAGCGGCAGAAATACCTAGGGAACCACCAGCTGCTGAAGTCCGATGATTCCAACAAACCCATAATTTTCGTCTGATTTCCAGCATATCGGAGATTCGTTTGAATTACAGATCAACATTTCAACTGCCAAGTCTGACCGATGGACTAGTGATCCTTTCTATTGGCACATATCGACAATTTGAAATTTGACACAACTTTTCTGGCTGGGTCTCCCCAGCCTTACGTAGTTTTCCGGAAAAACCATCAGTAAACCCTTACAGTTGATGGTAAGATGCAGAAAACTTCAAAAAAACGTGGCAACCCGGTCCAGTCTCCGTTGAGCTCACCCATCCATGACATCCACGATGGCTGGATCCCTTAGAAGGCGCCCAAAGATGCCGTGTGGCCCGACTTCTACGCCAGGAAGCTTAATGGGGCCAGGGTTTCTCGGAGCTGCTTCTATATATAAGATAAGATGTATCCGGACCCACATGTATATTTGATCAGTTGTCAATGATCTTCAATGATATTACATGATATTAGATACTCTTTTGTCGATCTAGTAGGTTTGTCTGGATATACTACTATATACATCTATATACTATTTTGTTGATCTAATACATGTGTTGTATGTTTCCATGGCATCGTGACATGTACAGCTATGTTCTTCATCTGACTCGTTTGATAATCCACGATCGCTGTTGACCAACATGATCCAACTTCAACCAACCCAAAGTGGTTTAGATTTACCAGAATTTTATACGGTAACCATCTCAACCGCCAGTGGCTGAGGTTGGGTTAATGTTGGTGATTCCAAGCTGCCAATATCACTGTGTGGATTGTAAAATTAATTGTACATGAATCATGAATCGATGATTATACAATTATATATATATACACAATTATATACACTACACATATATATATATATTTCTCCAAGGCACGATGTGACAGAATGTCACGGCCTGTGCAGTAAATTCAGCTGAACCCTACCCTGCAAAATCCGGTCCTATGTACTGCCCATAGTCTGTGACTATCATGGACTTGCATTTGCACCAAAAGTCTGTGCAAATGCAGATGGTGGGGTCAGCTTCCGCTCTCGTGACAGCTGCGGCAAAGCTCTCTGCGAGCGCTTTACACATCGCAGGAGGGTACTCTTTCAGAGTAGATGTCCTCCACCTACAAAGAGCATCTCTACCGATGGATGAGGTTTGCGGCAGCTCATCACAAACTCTGCCTCTCCAGATTTGATCCACAAGATCCGGGAGGTTCAGAGCCAAAATCGATGTTGGTTTCGGAGGCAGTGAGATGAAGGTGGCCTTTTCGAAAAAGAAACCGACGAAGCCTTGCCAGAAACCGCTGTCTTCGCGCGCATCTTCTCTTGGAAGGGGTGATGGTTGCCACAAAATTCAGTCACAAAGTCCGGAAGGATGAGGAACAGGACCAAGATCAAAAGCACAAAAAGGAGATAGAGCTCCGCAGTCTGGTTGGTGGGAACAAAGTCGTGGACCAAGTCAAACACAGACTAGTAGGCCACCAAAAATGGGCCAATTAAATGGCAGCCAGTCCACCCAGGAGTATTATGGAGCTGGGACTCCAGAGAACAGGTGATGACAACCTGCACAGGATCGTCAGAGCACGTGCAATGCTCGCAGCAGCGCAAAGGTCAGCTGCTATGCCCGTGGGACGTAGCGGCACCAGTCCCACTAAGGTTCCGAAACAGTACAACAAGCGTGGGGCACCCTTGACACACTGTTGGTCACTCGCTCCGAACCTTTTTTTATATATATATATAATTATATATATATGTACATATGCCCACAGACCTGCAAAAAATAGAGTTTTTTCTTTGCTGTGATCTCCAAGCTTGGCTGAGGTGCCAGCGAAGGTGGTGGAATCCCTGCCTCTTTTCGATGAGCAAGGGGAGGCTCTACGTGATGGGGCTTGGAAGGTGGATTCTAGAAGAAAACCACAGGTACCCTCTGGTAAACTAATATGGCTATAGAAAATCATCAGTTTTAATTAATGGGTAAATCATATATATATATATATCATTTTCCATAGCTATGTTACTGTTAGTTTACTCGAGGGTAACCACAAGGTTGCACCATTGCTCCCGGAACTAGTGGCTTTGGGCCATCTGATTGAGTTCAGGCGATCAATCAATTTGCAGGGACATACCAGGTTCCCGGTATGACATATGCTCAGAATGCTCAGATGCCTTGCAACATCAGCTAATCTCACGGGGCGCGCTATACTGGTGAGGTGGTCACGGTTGTCACTAGGTCTTTATCCTCTGGTTGAGGTTCACACAACCTCCTGTAGTTTGTATTTTCTCAACAAGTGTGATAGATGTGTTCTCCTTTACTTCCGGATGATTCTAGTTGGATATTCCGCTATTCCCAGTTTGGGGGGTTTACTGGATCCCCGGTGGCGGAACTGGGGATTCTACAGGATTTGGCGTAGCCCTGTCACAGGAGTCCTTTGCCAAGAAGTTCAAACCAATTACCTCAGTGGCTCCAAAAACGTCTGGCTCCTGGCGGGACACTGGCCCAGTTCTGATATGGTCATCGAAAAAAAAAGGAAGAACCACTGAAACAACAATTGAACCATTAAAAATAGCCTGGTTGATTGTTTATGAAATGGGACTTATACTACCCACTTGATTGGGGATTATGTAGGGACTCCTATCAGTTGAAATAATTTGAATAGTTGGATGATTCAGCTCGATGCTTCAAGTGCTACTTCGCCTGGTCCATTTTGTTTTCATGCTTGTCACAGCCTCCATTTCTATCTTTCATCCTCATCACCTTGTTTCCCGTCCCCCTGCGGAAATCAATGGACACATGACCCAAAAGGCCGTCAGAGACACTGAGAGAGAGACCAAGGTTCGATCGCTGCAAGGAGCAACTGCGTTGGGTGGGCGCCCCAGCCTGGGTGGAGTCGGACCTTCCCAAAGGTTCAGATCTGGCAGTTACCCTCCGGTGTCAATGCGGCGGAAATCACCTATAAATGGAGGTTTTAATGGGGAACACATCTAGAATCTATACTAGACAAATGGGGGATTTTCCATTGCCATATTTGAATAAAGAAGGGTAGTCATGAATAGATACAGCGGTATGGACGTGATGTTTGAAGATGAAACTTAGTATTGAAGTGCGCAGGTCCACCCTAACACCTGTAACTTCTCTTCTGGGAACATGAGTGCAAGACTTGCAAGTACCTGGTCTGTTGCTGTAATTAGAACTGCGGGATTTGTGGTATGTATCGTTGCACATGCCACTTCAATATGACTTTAGAATACGTACAGTATGTATGCACATAGATACACACATATTAGTACATGATCTTGATCCTACAGATTCTATTGATGGCCAAAGTAAGTGACGAAATCAGAGCTCCAACTCCTCAGGTGGCCAAAGTGCTGCAACGATATCGTGCTCCCAACTGCGAGCACGAGGCAGCGCATGGCACCACCCATCGTGCCCAGTTGAAATTTGCTGGTTAGTTGCATGGTTGTTACACGTTGTTGTGATTGGTCGAAGCACCAACATTGCAACATTGGGGCTAGTTACCAACGAATCTTGGGATAGTGGGGTATTGACCAGGGCAACTGACATAAAATGGGTACCTAACTAGCCACAACTGGCTTCCGAGGTCTGGAACTCGACATGGCAATTTTCACCCATGGCAGCGTGACCTCTTTCTTCGATATATCAAAGATCTTTTTGGAAAAAGGTCACAGTGATATGGGTATGGATCAATACCTATTAATACCATTTTTAGGGGGATGAACATCCATTTACCAGCTATTTTGATGTTCACCAGGGGTACAAGGTTTTGACACACTGCCATATCAATGATCTTCGGTGCTAAGCTGCTAAGCTATTTTTGGGTACCACATGTGGACCCATCACTCCACCATCCCATGTCCGCAGGCATGGAGTTTAGAAGTGGCATGGTACGACTATCGCGTGCCTTGGCTCCACTTTATATACGCTTCCGTGGTGCGATTGGCAGCGACTCAGTGGGTACAGCCAAGGTCCAGCGCCACGAAGAATCAGAGAGATTAATCGAAATGTGACTTGGCACTTCTGGGGACTTGTAGCACCTGGAAGATTCAGAATTTGTTTGTTGCTATGTTTGTCGCGGCCGAGATTCAGAGAATGATGGCATTTGAGAATCATAGAATGATGGACATCAAAGCCATGATTTCCACCGGAATGGGACAAGTATTGGGTTTCTCAGCTAGTTGCGTTCACTAGAAAGCACAGGCACTGCTTCTAACACATTGGGTTTGCTTGAAAATATGGTAATATATCCCAAATTCTCATGGTTGATTATCCCGTACCTCATCAAAACAAGTATATTAGTCATCGCTCTTTGGGATATCCAGTATCCCCTATTTTTGTGGCCACACCCAATGTTTTGGGATGCTGGTTCCCATTATTTAGCTTTTCTGTTTCTCACATCATACCTTCTCAATCAGCATTGGAGAAGGCGCGAAGTCATATTCCTCAGCACCGTCTAAATCTGACATTTGGACCACCCAAAAATGATAATTCACAAACGGTTTGGAAGGTGATCTTTAGATCGGGAATAACCATGTTGATCCATTTTTGTGGTTCTGTGCTAAAAATTGCGGGGGTCTAGTTTTCAGAATTTCAGATTCTGGACTTGGAAGAAGTCAACTTCGGGGAGTAGTTGCACCTTTAATGTCGGAAATGGAGACATGGGAGCCGAACTGGTTGGACATCACTGAAACATTGGAGATGTATTAAATACCCCCTTGGTTAACTATGTTAATTGCGATTTTTCGGCCGGTCGCAACTCACAGACCTATATGCTATTCATCTTGGTGCCAAGGCTAGACGATGTGCGCAGCACCCCTGCGGATACACCGCGACAGCCTCCGAGTCGCTGAGCTGCCAGATGAAACGCTTCCTGTTGGTGACATATCCCGGAGTTATATCGCTATCTCAGGATTGTTGGCTAAGTCAATCTCACATGTTTTGGTGTTGACACCTCCTATTTTGCATTGACTCACATCCTTATTGGCAAAGTCATCATTACGGATTAGTTTTATAAGGTATTCCAGTTCATGATTCTCTATGTATAATAAAGATCCCTTCGCTATTCCTTCTTCAAACCATTTTTAGTTGATTAAAAGTCAGTTAGATCAGTGAAATCCACAATTTCTGGCTGCAGACATCC